GGGTTTTTACAGAAGCTTCAATGAGGCCTGGTTGATTAAGTCATTGGCTGTTGACTCAACCTTCAGCCCAGGGGTGGGAATAAAAATTCCAGCCTTCTAATCACTCGGTTGGTTCTCCTGCCAACCAGCCTTAGGTGCTTTCCAAAAGTTATTTTTATTGACATAACAAAAGATGCTTTCTCCCCGACCCCCCAAATGCTTGTGAAATTCCTAGGGTTTTGGGGAGCTGTGAGCCAGGAACTATGGATGAAGACCAGATATGTATGAGAGATATAGTTTGGTCATCTGAATGAAAAATGTGTATTTCTTATAAATCACAGTATTGCATTAGGCATTTGATAAATGTTGAATGAATGACATTCTTATAGAATTCTTTAATCAAAGAAGATATTTCATGTTCTGTATTCATAAATTTGGTTTGTTGTAAAGAAAGAATATAAAACTAAGGACAAGCTGCTAGTACCATGCTGAAGATGAAAATTTTGTTAATGGGTGTTTTTCTGAAGAACTAAAGAAAATCATAGAAACATGTAGAGGAGCCTTTTTAAAAATCACTTTTCTCATTATCTCCAAGAATAGAAATAGGAAGTATGGTTCCAAATAGGAAGAGGTAGTTTGGTTAAAATATGATACTATCAGTATGATGGGTGGGGGGAACGAAAGTAGATAAATTAGAATTTGCCGACTATCTGAAAAGACTGCTCAAAATCAACAGTGACTAGAAATTCTGATTGCAAAATGAATTTATTCTTTGTGAAACTGAAACTCAGCATGAGGTGTGGGAGTTGCTGTGACCGGACGTAATCACCAGGGGAAAGAATGAACCTGTGCTAACTCATTTACAGTTTTTGCAGGGGGTATGCTTCGTGCAGGTTTCATGCATAATAGCCATCTTTTGAAATACTAGCTTTTCTAATTATTAAACAAAACAGTTTATTATCCTGATTTATGTAATAAGGATATTTTAATAGCATATTTTAATATTACATACGTAAAGAAACATTACTAAAGTGAAGTATCTTTTTAAAAAATGAGTAGTTGTCCCTTCATCTTCTTAATAATTTAAAATTGTTTTCTTGATGCAGAGCTGTTGATAGGTGTGCCTTCACTTTTATATGTGTTAAAACATAACTTGGCTTTTCACCTTTTGCAGGATGTTCTCGAGGAGAGAATTTCCCTGGAAGTTCAACTGGAACAGCTTCGACCATTCTCTCACCTATAAGCCAATTGCCGTTAACTGTGAACATACCCTTCTTGAGCAGTTTGGGGTTCAAGCCAATTTGGAGACCCAAACATACAGCTCATTGCTTAAGTCAGCGTTAAATTTTATGATTCTGTTTTGCCCTCTATGTTCACCATTGTATTTAAGTATCTTTTATTTTTTAATTTCAACAATAAAAGGGTCAGGATGACTTTTTCTGGAAGGTATATTGTGTTTGTTGGCACACACCACCCTTGTTATTCCAAAGCATCAGTATTGGTCCCTTACACTTAAGTGGCCAAAACTTCACACTGATTGGATTTACAGAATGGGCTTCTCTTTACATCTCAAGCCTATTTGCAAAAGAAGACAAAATTGAGTAAACTAAATGTTACACATAAAGCATCTTTGTTCTATAAAAATCTTTAAAATGAGTTTCCTATATTTTTTTTATTTGAAAGAACTATATTGGATAGGGCATTCTTTAACCATAAGCTCTGCAGTAATCAACATTGTTCTGGAGTAATGTGGTACTTTCAGTTTTCCTTGTCAGTTCTGTTTTCCTCATGAAAATTTCATCAGGTTCACCAGTGACTTAAAATATTTTTAAGATTTTATATATTTATTTTTAAAGAGGGGAAGGGAGGGAGAAAAAGAGAAACATCAATATATGGTTGCCTCTCACGCACACACTACTGGGGACCTGGCCTGCAACCCAGGCATGTGCCCTGACTGGGATTCAAACCAGTGACCCTTTGGTTCTCAGGCCAGCACTCAGTTCAGTGAGCCACACCAGCCAGGGCTTGTGTAAGATTTTAATTCAGCAGCAAACTTATAAAATAGCTGTGAAGACAGACTGTTCTTAATTGTACGCTAAAAGTGAAGGGAAAGTGTTGAACTACAACCAACATAAGTATCATCCACTTGCAAACATCACTACTGTTTGGATGATGTATGCACTTAACTCTCTTTTAAAAGCTTATACTCATCAGTCTCTACAGAGATTATTTTCAAGTAATATGTTTTAAAACCTAAGAGGACATTAATTAGTCACAGAATAAATGGAAACTCCTCAGGATTTCTAGTTTACCTTCAGCTGTCTTGTCACTCACTCTTTTGCCATGTAAACAGGGTTTTCCTATTAACAGAGTTTCTGGGGTGTGCCCCATTCAGGATGATACACTGTCTTAGGGTTTGTTTTAGACCATATGATATATATACATTTTGATCAAATTTATAAATTTACATTCATTGCTAATAGCAAATACTCCCTTTAGTGGTTTATTCTGTCTGTGGGATCACAGATATAAAGCTGTGTGAATATATCTTAACAGAGTCAAAAGTGTGACTTTACACTAATAAAACGATATTTGAAGTTTTGTATAGTTTTTAACAATTTAAAATTTTACAAATTAAATTATATTTTCATTGTTGAAAAAAGAGACTGTTTAAAATAGCCTAGTTCATAATCCTGTAGTATACTAATAGATTTTACTACATTAGAGGAGAATATGAAACAAAAAGGAAATTGATAAGCCAAAGCTCCCTAGATTAATATAACTTTTACCATTATCTAAATAAAAATATTATTATTGCATATATCAGCTAAAGTTTCCAAATAACTAACAGGTTATGGTTTCAGTTTATTAAATAATTAAATGAAGACTTTAAAGAATGATCCAGAAAAATACTCAACACCTATTTTGCTGATTCTCTTTTGAAATAGATTTGTCTTGATTTCTTTATTTTTATTTAACAAAATTCCATTATAGGTAAGTTTTGGTAGATATAGGCTTCCATTTATTTATTTTTTAAGTATATTTTATTGATTATGCTATTAGAGTGGTCCCAGTTTTTTCTCCTCTTTATCCCCTCCTCTGCCCTGCATTCCCCCACTCTTCAGCAGTCCCCGCCTTAGTTGATGTCCATGGGTCGGGTCGTACATATAACGTCTTTGGCTTCTCTCTTTCCTAGACTATTCTTAACCTCCCCTGTCTGTTGTGTCCCTACCAATTATGCTCCTTATTCCCTGTACCTTCGCCCCCATTTTCTCCCATCCCCCTCCCCACTGGTCATCCTCCATGTGATCTCCATTTGTATGATTCTGTTCCTGTTCTAGTTGTTTGCTTAGTTTTTGTTTTTTAGGTTCAGTTGTTGATAGCTTTGAGTTTGTTGCCATTTTACTATTCAGAGTTTTTGATCTTCTGTTTCTTAGGTAAGTCCCTTTAACATTTCATATAATAAGGGCCTGGTGATGATGAAGTCCTTTAACTTGACCTTATCTGGGAATCACTTTATCTGCCCTTCCATTCTTAATTGATAGCTTTGCTGGGTAGAGCAATCTTGGATGTAAGTCCTTGCCTTTCATGACTTGCAATACTTCTTTCCAGCCCTTCTTTTGAGAAATCAGCTGACAGTGTTGTGGGAACTCCTTTGTAGGTAACTATTTCCTTTTGCTGCTTTTAAGATTCCTTATCTTTAATCTTAGGTAATTTAGTTATGATGTGCCTTGGTATGTTCCTTCTTGGGTCCAATTTCTTTGGGACTCTCTGGGCTTCTTGCACTTCCTGGAAGTCTTATTTCCTTCACCAGATTGGAGAAGTTTTCTTTCATTATTTATTCAAATAAGTTTTTAATTTCTTGCCCTTGTTCTTCTGGCAGCCCTATGATTGGAATGTTGGAGCACTTAAAGTTGTCCCAGAGGTTCCAAAGGCTCTCCTCGCTTTTTTGAATTCTTGTTTCTTCATTGTGTTCCAGTTGGATGTTTATTTCACTCTTTTGTTCCAAATCATTGATTTGAGCCCCAGTTTTCTTCCCCTAACCGTTGGTTCCCTGTGTATTTTCCTTTATTTCACTTTTTATAGCCTTAGTTTCTTCCTTCACTTAGCGGTCGAGCTCAATCAGTGACCATCCTGATTACCAGTGCTTTGACCTCTGCATCTGGTAGGTCGTCTGTTTCCTTGTGGCTTAGCTCTTTTTTTCTGGAATTTTGATATGTTCTTTCATTTCGGCTGTGTGTCTTTGCTTCAGCACACCTGTTAAGTTGTTAGGGGGTGGAGCCTTAGGTATTTGCCAGGGCAGGGCAACTCTGCTGTGTTGTGGCGCTGTCTGTGGGGAAAGGATCAGAGAGGGAATAATGCCACTTGCTTGCTCCACTCTAGCCCCAATTTTCGATGAACTCTCCTATGAGACTGGGAGTTTCTTCCACCTTTGCAACCCCCACAGTATTTACAGCTAGAGGTATTGAGTCTTTAGTTTCTTAGTGAGCCAGCCCCCTCTCACCTGTGTGGTCCATGGCCTTGCTGTGGGTCCTCTCCAGTCAGCTGCCCATCTCTGCCCCTCCTGCTGGGCTGGATGAATGTTTAACTCCGTGGTTGTCGGAGTTCCGTGCAGACTGCTATTCTGGCAGTTCTAGTTATTTATTGTTTTTAAGTTGGTTGTTATCCTTCTTTTAATTGTGTGAGGAAGTGAAGCATTTCTACCTACCCCTGTATCTTGGCTAGAACCCTATTTTTTTTAAAGGTATGTTTTTAACAGCCTTCTAATTTAACAATGTCACAGATTTTTAAAGCTTATTTGGAAGGTCTAAGAATTTTATTTTGCAACCAAAGAACACTTAAAAATTACAGAAAACGTTTTAGTACTTCGTAGTAGTATATTTTTAATGCTATCTGGAAGAGTACATTCATATTAAGGATATGTGTGATGAGTTTTTAAGTAAATTGCCATTTATATTTTCTATACATATTTTTAAATCAATAATTATTTTCTTGAAAATGTTGAAGATGATTGGTAAAGTACCAACAAATTAAAATATTTCTCCAGACTGATCATTTAAGGAACCCTTTTCATTGTGATTTTATTTTTTATTAGATCATAAAACAAAATTTTGAATACATAGTATGCTTATTCTGTCTTAGGTTTTGTAAATCAAGTAACTAATACTGTCTGTGAAAAACAACTAGCAAAAGAAGTGGTTCAGAACCGTGGACTTGTCCTTATTCTACATTTCAGATGATTGAACATAGATGGTGAAGTGTATAAGTTAGACAGAACCTTATGGGCTATCCTAGGTCATCCTCTCACAAAACTTAACCTGGAACAGAAAATGCATGTTGTCTCTCTTTGCCAGGGAGAACCAGTGGCCCTGAATTTTTTTTTAAAAAGTCCAGGCTCACTTCTACATTGTACTTTTGATTGCATTTTGGAGTACAGACAACCACAGGAACTTGTCATCTTCTGCTTCTGTGGCGCAAATCCATTCATGTCTTGGACCTTGAAGAATGAATGCATTCTTGATATCTGTAAAAATATTTAAGGTACACTAATTAATCTTTGCAGGTAACAATCAAAAGAAGAAATTATTTTAAAATTCAAGAATTACCCAAGTCTTCTTTAAGAATTTTTTGAATACTAAAAAAGGAATTCAAATCCAGTTTAGAATATAACTCCCTAAAATTACTGAATAATTCAAATATATGATAATGAAAATAATACTCTTTATATTATAATTAATTGTAATTAGTGATTGTATTTAAAGACTAAATGATAGGTGGTTTAATTTTTAAAAAATATTTTTAGATAGAGGGGAATGGAAGGAGGAAGAGAAAGAAACAGATCATGTGCCCTGGTGGGGAGTTGAACCAGCAACCTTTCAGTTCACAGGCCAGTGCTCAAACCACTAAGCCTCACTAGTCAGTGCTGATTTAATGTTCTGTGATTCCTTGTTTTATTCACTCCAGAAGGACCTGGAGCTAGTGAAGGTCTCCACTAAGTTAGAGATGCTGAGAGCTAGACCTGGACAACATTGGTATGAGGGCCAATGACAGAACTCAGCCAACTGCTTAGCTGAATGACCACTACCTGTGAGGTTACACGATGATATTTAACACAGGGCATAGCTGGCTAAGGGGCGTCACACCCTTTTCAACGTACCGAGTGACACTGGTAACTAGCCCGTTTTATCTGAGCTTGTCTTCTCGGTGGAGATATTTAGTCCCGCATTTGATTTTCATTTTTTTCCCCCTTAGGCTCATTTATAATGGGGCTGAAGCTAATGAGAAGCAGTTCTTTCTAGGTAATATTTTCTCAAGTCCTGCCATGACACACAGTGACAAATACTGGAACGAGAGCGGTCCATTCAGGTTTTCTGGCCCAACAAATACAAGAGAGAGATGTGGAGCCTTTTAAGCTCGGGAAGTAGAGTCTAGAGTAACTAAAAAATGGGCACAGTAGGGTTAGGTTTTAATTCGGAAATTTTTTTTGTAGCATGATTTTTTATTGAGGTTATTATGAATGAAATGTTTATTACGAAATATCCTTTACAAATCTCTTGATCTCATTTCTCTGTTGCTCTCAACTTATGAATTTAAGAAAAGGTACGGTCAGATCTGTAATAATCACTTAGTTCTAGTAGAATGGAAACAAAGTCTAAAATGGTAACATCCACAGGCAGTATAGAGTCCTAACAGAAGGAAAAGGGAACAGATAAAAGCCCAACACTGGAACCCCCCGAGCAGTGTAGAGTGGTAGGTAAGGGTCAGCACTCCTATGGACCTGCTTCAGAGAGTCCCTCGTGGTGATGTGGGGCCATGCCCCGCGTTGTGAGTTTGGAAACTTTCTAACATCCAGGGTGGGTGGCTGACAGTGCCAGCATCCTTCTCTTCTGCTCTTTCAGGTAGATGGATGTTTACCTTAGTGAAATTTTTTGAATAGGGAATTATTTGCCAACTACAAAGTATAATTCCAATCCTTTTCCTACTTTCTAAATTAATAGTAAATGAGCATTACAGAATATAGCTTTCAAAAGGTATTTAACTCTTGGGAGTAAAAGAATACATACATTTGGAATCTGGAATATCTTCTACAAGTAGCCTGTGTAGGGCCACAGATGCAATGAACTGGTAGGTCGATTTCGAAGTCCTTTCGAATGGAGTGTGAGATGTGCCCCGACTACAAACAAGCAGTGCATCGTTGAGGAGGAAAAGGCTGAGATCTCGGGTGTGTTCATAGAGCCTGTGTTAGAACCAACACAAGGAGGGGCGGTTTCAGAGGATTTCCTGTGCAGTGTGGGCAACGTGAACGTTCAGCTCTCCCTCCTGTGAGACCTAAGTCGTGCTGTGTTTTGAAACTTCTGTCAAGTTTGATATTTAGTGTTTGGTACATTTGGGCAATCTGGAGAAAATAATTTTCTGTTTGGTTTCATCTTTTAATGGTAACAGATTTGGATGAACCAGTGTGGCACGAGGTGCCTTAAGTAAAAAGCATTTAACTATTGTAGGGAAATTTCTAATTTTGATTGGAGTAAGGGAAATTGGTGTGCAACTTAAAATACCTCATCAGTATGAAAAGTTCAAGTTAAGAAGCTCTCGGTTTTCACTGAGGTTGCCAGGACCATGGTCAAACAGAGGCATGTGTATCAGCAGGCAAAATGTGTCCACAACCCCCATCTGTTGCCTTCTTGCTGTTCTGTTGTTGGAACCAGGTCAGGTCGGTTTCCCTGTTCACTGGCAATGGGCTGTCTTGTGCGAGCACTCGACACGCATCAAGAGACGTGCTGGGGAAGAACTCAGGGAGCCCCACTCCACCAGGAGTGGCTAAACCAAGCTCAGTGTTTTGATGAAAGATGACCAAAAATTTCACTTTCTCTTGGAAGTGTCAAGCAACCCTCAGGAACTCTGAAGAAGGGAGTTAATTCACTAGCTTGTTAAAGGAAGCCTCTTGTTTTATTATCTCCACTTTTCATTTAATTTTTAAATTGTCGATTTTGATCCATACACAGTTTTAATAAATGCTAAAGTGACATCACATACCTCCACTGAGGTCACCCAAGATACCAAACTAATAGATATTTTTCCAATTGTTTTAATCTGCTCAGGTAATTTTAACAGGCATGTGCACGCGCCTGTTTACAGGTAGTAAACAGGCTCACACCCCTATTTACAGGTAGTTTGCCATTATTTTACAAAAATGGTAACAATATTCACATTTTTTCCTGCTTTTCTCACAATACTTCATGGTGTAGATGGGGCATTACTTATTCACTCACCCCCTTTGGATGGGCAGCCCCCTTTTTGTATGATCCTCACTTGAGGATGTGTCCCTTGATCTTAGAGACAGAGGAATGGAGAGCGAGAGAAACATCAATAAGTTGCCTCCCACACACACCCCAAGCAGGGATCGAACCCACAACCTAGGTATGTGACCCTGACCCGGGATCAGACCTGCAACCTGTTTGGTGGACAGGATCATGCTCCAGCCAACTGCCACCAGGCTGGGGCAGGCTGTCCCCTTTTGATAGATGGGTGCTTTGTTCACAGGTTTGGGTCTCGTTCCTCCCTTCCCCTCCTGTCGTTTGGTCTTTATTGCCACTGTGAGCAGTATTGGAGTAAACTGGTCCTTACATATAAACAAATTCCTTACATGTGCTCTTATTTCTATCACCAAGGATGATAGGATCCTTACAGGATCACCAAGAGTATGATCAACTGGTGAAAGGGTTTATGTATTTTTATCAAAGACTTCCAGATCCTCCATAGAAGTTGCTCTACTTTATATGACAATGTCTCTGACTTGTACATAGTACAAACTTTAATGTGCATCTGAATTACTTGGAGATTTTGTTAAAATGCAAATTCTGATTGGATAGTGCAAGGGTAGCTTGTGACTCTGTTTCTGACAGTTGGCTGGGTGTGCTGACAGGCAGAACGCACTGAGCAGTGAGGCACTTACTAGTTACAGCCACACCTATCAGCTGGGCAGAGGACTGGGTCAGGGAGCTCCACACTTTCAAGAGTGCTGCACTGCGGGTTCAGCTGTTTGCAGAGGTTAGGAAGTGCGGGTTGTGTTAGGTGTGTGAAGAGACAGAAACGGTCATCCAGTCAGTAGTCAGCTTGTTCGCACACGTCCCCTTCCTGTCTCTGGTTGGGAAGACTCGGGCGGGAAGGAGTGGGATGCTGCACATACACTGGTACTCTGCAAGGAGTAATGCTCTGATCAGGTTGATAGTTGTTCTGACAATAATGGATGAGACGGAACCAGGGATGAAGGAGAAAGGAAACAAGAATGGCATAGGGTGCTTTTTAAGTGCATGCGTGGTGGGTGACCGGTGGTGAAAGGCCACTGTAAACAAGCAGAGGATCTCCCCCCACGCCCTTGCCCCTTTGAGCAGTACTTTCACTATATGACTGGTAAGAGCAATTATTCCCTCTATCGTGCCAATTTAGGAAACTTGAAAGCTGTAATGAAACTTTGCTGTTTCATGTGAATTATCCAAGAGGCTGCCTACAAGGGTTCTTGAAGAAGGGGCCCTGAAATGGGTATTTGCTTTGGTAAATAGTTTCGTTTTCCCTTTGGAAGGGAAAACATCGCGAGTAGAGGTAAATGAGTGAGAATTCCCATTTTGTGATCCACTTGGACCAGGTGAGTGGTCAGCCCAGGGAAGGGAAGGAGGAGGCACAGTAACTGAGTTTGGCAGTAAGGTCACTTGTAGGCCAAATGCATGAGTGGGAAAATATAAACACAAGTTTTTATTTCAGTCTGCTTATTGGAGTGCTATTTAAAATACATACAAATCTGAGTTTTATCTAGAAAAAAAAAAGATTTTCAAAAGTCATTTACTAAATTAAGGGCCCCAAGATCTCCAACAGTTTTCATCCAAAGACATAAAAAAAGTCAGAATCTTTCCTAAAAAAAAATCTTAATTCCTCTACATACAGAAAAGCAAATAATTTCACCATTCACACTGACCTGATGGAGCCGCTGAAGTTGAAACTGGACTCTGCTAGGGTTTCAGAAAACTGCTTCTGCTCACATTCAAAAGAACCACCTCTAAGGGTAGAGTATTTTCCCTGAACTTGGATAGGGTTTCTTTGCTTGTTCACAAATCAGTTCAATGACTCAGCAAGATGGAACGGGTCTACTATAGTTTAGATTCTCAGCACCGTTCTAGAAGTATTTTGTTTACTTCATTAGCCTGCCCAAGAGACAAAGCACCCAACTTCAATAAATACATAAAACTTTAAAGGGGATTTTCAGAACCTAATCTTTGGCTAATCTTTGAACAGACATCAGCAGACAATCATTCCCAGGAAAAGAGTCAACTCAAGCAGAGTTAAGCGTCCCTGAAAAGTCTAGGTTTTCCTTCCCCATGCGCAAGTGCCCTGGTAAATGACTGCATTCCCTTTGGGGAGAGCTGAAAGGAAAGGTAGCTGCATGTTTGGTGTTGTAGCAGGGTTTTTCCTCAAGAAAACTCTGGGTCTGAGAAGTGGATGATGGCTCTATTTGATGATTCATGGCTCTAGTTACCAAGTCTTGAGGGGCTCAGTTTTGTAAATTTGGGGAGACCCCACTGAAAGGGGAAAAGGCACGCTGAAAATCATCAAACTTAAAGTCACATAAACAAAAATTGGTGTTCCTGAAAAAATGATAAAAGTTCCAAGGTGCATAATGTATTCCAAAAGAATATACCGAAAACTTGGGCCTATATCCATACACAAATACCTCCAAATTTCCTAGCTCTAAAATGATGGACTTGATCTCTATCCAATTTTTTAAAATGTATAATGCAAATATTATTTGGTCTTTCTATGGCAGATCTTGTTGATTAGTAACTTACTTGTTTAGCAACTGCTGCCGTATCAGTGAGTTTATGAGGAGGAAGACTCAGTTCAGCTTTCCACCTGCCGGTCCAACCAGCAGTTGGAGCACTGAGACCTGGGTTTGGAATTCCAGGCCAGCACTTGTTAGTTCCATGACTCAGACAACTTAACATAAGCACCAATTTCCCATCCATACTCCGGGCTCTGGTCCTGCCTTCCTCACCAGGTGATCGTAAAGATCATATCAAATGAGAGGAGTTAAAATGCATGGGAGACTGTGAAGCCTTGTACTCGTGTGGGTTGGTGGGGTACGCATAAATGTAAGCAGGGTTTCCTGTAGGTAGATATTCCTGATGAGAATCATGGGAATGTCATTTCTTGGCTTTTCTGTGATTTTCTAAAATGACAGAAAACAAGGTTGCAGGCTACATACTCTATGATACGTTTTAGAACATAAGCCTGTTTTGCATTTACTTGATTTCAAATGTTAATGTGGAATTACATTAACATTAATTGCTTGGCAAATTGCTGATGCATTGTCTACTTAAACATAAGTGTACCTCATACTCAGAGTGCAAAATAATTAGTATTTTCTCACTATTGTCAAATTGTCAAATGTACTCTGTTGTTGAAACACTGAAGACAGACATCTAAATTCTAATTGAGTCTTCTAGCTTCTGGTTGTATGTGTAAAGAGCTTGGAAGTCATCACTTTCATCCTCACAACAAAAAAAGAAACAAAAAAAGTCAGAATTAACAAGTCCCCTTAGATCCATCTGAGAGCTGTGGTCACAAGATAAACCACTACCCTGAAAGCTGGAGAGGCGGGTGCACACGGAGAGGGGCAGCTTACTGGAAGCGGAAGCTGCACACTGGGGCCAGCCTTGCCTAAGAATACTTAAAGGGACTTGACTAATTGTTAGAGACTCCAACTGGTTCAAAGATTAAAGACTCCTGCCGACTTCGCTTTGGGGAGATCCTCTACCCCCTTGCATCACTTTCACCTCCAGAACCCCCACCAGGTTCCGTCTGTGAAGATCTGAGAGAAATCTTCCTTCTCCCAATAGGGAAGAGAAAAGCAACAATTCTGAAACATGCTCAGAATGTGCTATTCTTAACAAAGGCCTGCCCTCAAGGGAAACTTTTACGGGAACCTAGACAAAGTGGGAGAAGGGAAATACCCAACTCCAGCTCTCTCTAGCTTTCCTGCCTTACCTTAGAGGCAAAAAAAAAAAAAAAAAAAGACAAAACCCTAAGCAGCTTTTGTGAAGGTCATGGCTCAGGGGCACAGGCTCACTGATATCTGAGACCAAATCACAGGACTATAGAACTCTTCCTCTCCCCCTCATATTTTACCGCCACTTCAACAGGATGCTTTAGAATGACAAGGGATTACAGCTGAAAAGAAAAGCAAGGCTCAGACTCCCTTTAAAGGATCTTTAGAAAACCCGGTGACAACAGGGAAGACAAAACCAAGGACAGCAGAGAAAACCGGATCCTCTAACACAGTAGCTACAGCAAAGAGAAACACAGGCTCACACACAGCCAAGTAAACATAAAACCTTACACTAAACGCCTATTTACCTCGGTTTCCTTTCCCCAATACCTCATGTCTGGCTTTCAACAAAGAGTGGCAAGGCAGGCTAAGAGCCAAAGGAACACTCTGATGGGACCAGGGAGGCAAGCCACCAAGCCAGACTCAGATATGACGAGAGAGTTTGGAATTTCAGCATGATGATAAGGACTCTATCAGAGAATTGGACAGCATGCAGGAACACATGGGTAATACAAACAGAAATAAAAATGCTAAGACATTTTAGAAATCAGAAACAATAGATGAATAATGCCCCTCGATTGGTTTATCAGCAGGCTGGACATAGCCAAGGAAAGAAACAGTGAGATTTGTCAATAGAAACTTACCAAACTGGAAGCAAAGAGGGGAAAAAAAAGACTGGAAAAGAAAAAAAAAAAACATGACCCAAGAAATAGGGGACAACTACAAAAGATGTAACTTATGTCTAACAGGAATATCAGGTTCAGAAAAAAGAGGAATCAAAGGAACATCTGAAGTAATAATAGCTGGTAATTCTCCAAAATCATTGAGAGACACCAAATCACAAGTGCAGGAAGCCTAGAAAAGAGAGTATCAGGTAAGATGAATGCCTTAATATATACACTTAAGCCTTCCACATTCAAACTCCAAAATATCAGAGACAAAGATAAAATCTTTTTAAAAAGATTTTAAATATTTGTAGAGAGATTGGAAAGGAGGGAGAAAGAGAGGGGAAAAAACATCGATGTGAGAAACATCAACTGGTTGCCTCTCATACAAACCCTGACTGGGAATCGAACCCACAACCCAGGCATGTGCCCTGACCAGACATTGAACTGGCGACCTCTTGCTTTACAGGACGTGCCCAAACAACTGCGCTGTACTGGTCAGAGCCAAAGGTAAAATCTTGAAAGAACCTAGAGAATTTAAAAAATGCCCTAATTACAGAGGAACAAGGATAAGAACTACATTGGACTCCTCTTCAGAAACCGTACAAGACGGGGGAGGGAGAAAGGAAAGTGCCAGAAGAGGCGGGCAGGGAGGGGCTGGGAGAGAAAGGGGGGAAAAGAGTGGAGTGAAATAAGTGTTGTAAGAAAAAGCCCATCAGCCTAGAATCCTGTACCCAGCAAAATTATCCTCCAAAAGACTTCTCAGGAACATGTGTAAAGGACCCATGGCAATGGACAACAGGGTGGGGACTGACTGAGGGAGGGAGGGTGTCCGATCAGGGGAGAGCAATGGGGGAAAACTGGGGCAACTGTAACTGCTCAACAATTAAAAAAAAAAAAAAAGACTTTCTCATACAAACAAAAATTGAGGGACTTCATTGCCAGTTGACCTGCCTAGCAAGAAATGTCAAAGGAAGTTCTTCAGAGAGAAGGAAACTTATATGTCAAAAATTCAAAATTACTTCAAAAGAGGAGGAGTGTTTTAGGTTAAATACATTCTATGAAGGGGAAGTAAATTCTAATCATCAGGAAGTGCAGCAATCCCTAGCGCGTCCCTACCGCTCCAGTGTGTTTAGAATCGCTGGCTGGGCAGCTAGTTCCCTTCCATCACTGTATCTCTTTCTATTGCTCCTGACCAAAAACAACAACATCAAAACATAGCAAACACTGACAGTAAGCACGTGGCACATGGTGGGATTTGATTTTCATTTAAGACTCACTCCAGGTGGGGAGTAGGTGAGAGAACGGATTTCTCCTAACAACCCCTGAACTCTGTCCTGTGTCTTTGGGAAGCATTTACCAAAATATTCATTGAAATAACTGGTAAACCAATTTTTATTTCTCTTATTGGAGTTGGATGAATGAAAGAAGTTAATTCCTCTCCATTGGGTTTCTACTGAGTCATCGTCTTTGCCGTTAATACCGAGTGAGAACACAGTTGGGCAAACAACTTCTGGAAGCAGAGAGATGAGCAGACTGGCCGCATTGCTGGTTTTTGTAAATAAAGTTTTACTGGAACGTAGTTACACTCATTCATTTATGTATTATATTGTTAATTAGGATTCTATTTGTTATATTATTGTATTGAGTATACAGCTGCTTTTGTGCTTCAAAGACAAAGTTAGGTGGTTGCCATAGAGATTATTTGGTCTGTAAGCCGTAAAACGTTTACTGCCTGACCCTTTACAGAAACAGCGCCCATCTTTGTCCCACAGGAGAAAAGTGGGTGCCGGTTTATGGAAACTGACACTCTCCCATGTTTTGTACTTACATTACTCTGAAACTGTGCAAACTAGACTGGGCGAGACCTCGGTGTAACGGCTGGCCTTTGGTGAGACCATTGAAACACTGGCCACAGTGACCATCTGAGGGTAATAAACTGGGGCTCCCTTCCTCACGCTGAGCAAACGCTTCATGCGATGTCCCGAGGTCGCCTCTCGGTGGGAAAGTGATTCATCTTGAGAATCTCTGTTTCTCCACAGTTTGTGGTCAGCAGAGACTATTCATTCTCTCCTGTTTTGCCCAGTAGCTGCCTGGAATTCAAGTAAGGTGATAAGGCATCTTTCCTTATCTCAGAGGAGGGTATGTGTGTACACTTGCAGTTCAACACACAGATTGTCGTAAACTTACACGGTGTCAGACACGGAGCTGGGTGCCTGGTACAGGGTGACTAAGATGTGGTCACAACTGCAGGGCATTCAGGTGTTTACCTTAAAGAGAAACTTGTTTCCTCATCGCAGCCGTGAAGTTGGGCTACGTCTTGGACCCTAATCAGATATCTGTGTGCTTCTGAGAGAGGCTAGGAAATCAAAAACAAAATGAGGAACATGGATAATTGTTAGACAATAAAAGGCTACTAAGTAGTAGTGACTACTGCAGAACCATTTTGCATCCCAGCACATGCGAGTGTCGAGTAGAACTCAGCTCAGTTATGAAAAAGGGAATGTTTTAATTGTTTATAAAACAGGCTTTCTTTAGAAAGATCACAGAATTGACCGTGAAAACTATATTTTAGGGTATTGTTTAATTCTTCAACTACTGAAATTGTTTTATTTACAAATGTTCCATGGTATCAAAAATAAAGCGGGGGTGGGGTGAATAAGAAGCACCGTATCAAGAGAAGGAAGGGAACGAATTGTTGCAAAGTAAGAGTCAGGCCCCTGCACGGATGGAGCCTTGCGCATGATCACGTGGTGTGAGCAGCGACCTGGAATTAAGTTCTGTGGACTCTGCCCATTCCACGATTTGGGGCTTTTTGTAATCCAGTTAACTCCACTTTCCCTACCAAAACGTGCAGATCTAAATTATGATAGAACAGCTCCATCTTGCCTCCCCATTTTAGCCGAATAAACATAGCATCTCCAATCAACTGGTAATTTCAGTCCTTAGAATTCTTATACTGAGCTCCTATTATATGTCAAAGCCTGGAAGACAAGTCAGTCACAACTCACACCTGACGGAGTTCCCAGTCGTATAAATAAAAGATTGTAACAGAATGTGACAGAGGCCCAGGGTGCTGCAGGACACCTAGGAGAGGGCGATCCACAGCGGGCGACGTGGGAGAAGCTATGAGGAAGATGATGGTTGAACTGGATGATGTAAAGGAGGATAGGAGCTGACCCAGTGGAGTGAGAAAGGAAGGTAATTTCTGAGAAAGAGGAGTATGGACAAAGCGTAACTGTACAAGGAGAGGCCAACACGACTGGAGAACTGTGAGTCGATTTGCGTGGTTTGCTCAGGAAGTGGTAGGCAAGGAGGTAGGAGAGAAGGCAGAGTGAGGCCAGATGATATTCTGTGGGTAACAGCCAGCACAAGACTTGTGAGACTTTTTCAGGTATCCTTGGTGTGCAAAGCCCTCCACCAGGTACTATGCACAGGGATATATAAAACAATAGAAGACACGGCCCCTTTCCTCTGGGGTGGGGGTTCTGATCACAGTAGTGCTGAGCGAGGAGCTAAGACTGCAGAAAAGTGAAGGGACAGGGTCAGGCCCACGTGTGCTGCGTCTCCTGTGGCATCCGTGCAGATAAGGAAGATGTGAGGTGTGAGAGCTCGGCAGTAGCAGGCACGGCGCGGGCATTCACCAGATGTTAGCTGATTTGACACCTGGGTGTCTCCCTTTGCCAATGACACGAGAGTTTATCCATGAGCATGAGATGTAGAAAGTACATCGGGAATACGTACAGGGCACCCCCAGATGCTTCTCTGTATGTCTGACAGCTGATCTTTCGTGTTGATGCTTTGCTTCATCTAGAAAACAAAGTGATTTTAGGCAACATAAAACCGTGAGATTTGTATACATAAAAATAGATTTGAAATATTTCATGGCACTTACAAGAATCTGGTTTCATGTACCCAGTGTTTTTAAACAAAGAGGCAAATGACAAGACTGTATTCAAAAAGCGTCTTCTGGGCATAATGTGTTAGCAGTTAACATTCAGCCTGGGCGCCCATGAAGAACGCACGGCAGAGGGATGTTTTCGGAGTGAGAGCACTGTGCTCCGCGATGCTGAGTTGCCCAGGCAGGAAATCTAATACATGAAGGAGTTGTTTCAGGCACAGAGGATCTTCCTTTTTCACTTTTAGTCCTCTAGAAAATCAATCCAGGTACCCACTTCTTCAAACTTTTGCATTAATAAAGATTTTATCAAACATGTATAGTTATCCAAAAACATGTTGTTTGGCTCAAAATAGATACCTTTAGTGCTCCAAGTCTCTGAATACAATGATTTCACACTGAAAAGACGAAAGAATTTGAAGACTGCCACAGGAAGAACAGGCATTTCTGGACCTGTGAGTTCGAGTGCCAGAAAAGCACTGCAACATTTTCAAAGGACCCAGACTCTTGTCAGCCACCAACCTGATCTATGTAACCTGTATATGTTTTGATTTGGTCAATTGCAGTGGTCAAGTCCCCACGGTCAACGTGCTCTGCAGGGGTGTGAAGCCTCAAAGCGTAGAGAAGATGAATATATTCTCCGAATCTTCGGGATGGGTACAAGAGCAGCTCCGGCAGGCTGGGAGGCATAGACAGGGGAACCTGGTCTCCTTCTGAAGGTGCAAGAATGCCCCATCCCCGGGGTGCCTCCGCCATGCTCGCCCTCAGAACTCACCTCAGCATGTTGGTAGCGACAGTCTTATCGTGCCTCTTCAGGAAAGCTCGGAATGCTGGTCTCGCTTCTCTGCACTAAAGGTGAGCATCGTGTTGTCAAAGCTTAGCTCTGCGTGCCCGCCGTAAAGCCTTCCATTCCCCCAGGCGGACGCGATCTTGGAAGCACTCAAAGCCAAGAGGCCAACGTCTGCATCTAGTCCAAGCATTTTTAGTGCTCACTGACACTAATGCGCCAAGGAGAGTGGTTTATTTATGCCACAGACCTCACCCTATTCACTGTCCTTAAACAGGGTAGACCAACAAAAAAAGACTTTGTAACCAGGGAGCCTGAAGAAGAATTAGAATTCTAATCGAATTCTCCCTAGTTCTTTGGGACCTTGTTAAGTTACTTCACGCCCCAGAGCCTTGGTTTCCTCCTGGATATCAACCCTAACTCTTGTGGTGAAGGAAAGATAAATCCTGTCCATAAAATGCCTGTCCACACAGCAAATGTTATTTCCTTGTAGTAAAAGACTATTGAAGGTATCCACTTATAATACTACTGCTAATCATGTGTGATGTTCTAAAAGTGCTCCACTGTATTTAACATCTGTTTTAAAATGTATTCGTGCATCACCTTTAAAGTACGCTGGAAGTACCCATTTTTCTCCATGGGGTACATGCCTAAAAGATGCCAGTAATGCTAATTTCCAGAAATCAAATATTTATTGATTTCAATAATATTAATAGCTAACAAGTATTGAGCACTTGTGTGCCCCCTCTATGGTGGTGAAACAGACACCATTAGTATCTGTGACTATAAAAATGTCATCACCGGTTTGTTTCTGATGATACAGGACACTGCGCTCCAATTCCTGAGCTCATGGTCAGTCAGTTCTATGAAATTGCCTTGTTCACACAGTTTTCCCACAAGACATAATGAGATCGTCCAGCAGTGTTAGACTCTCTGGGTGTGGGGAGAGGTGTGCTATAAAGGAAGGTGTCCAAGGTCAGGCATTGGCCAGAGACCTCAGTGCAGACAGGGGGACACAGCGGAAGTGGACATGCTGGACACTGGCAGACGAGTGCCCCTGTGTCGCAAGGGAGCGGGATCTTACTGCCATCAGAAGGGATCCCAACAAGAGCAGCGAGTGAGTGACACAGAGGAAAGCGAACATTCCTGCCCAGACTACACACGGCACAAGGCACAAGGAACTCTCCACAGAATGTAAGACAAAAAAATTCCTCACGCACAGTAAAATATCACAGACTGAGAATCCTTATCCCAAGAAACATGGATTACTAATTCCTAGTCTTTATGAGAGAGCCAGCCTTGTCAAGGTCACCCGGATCTTTGCGGCAGGGTAACACTGGGGCTCACAGTCTTTCTTCTGCCTGTTAAACGGTTTCCTGTAACTGAGCCGCAGGGCGTCTGCAGCAGAGGGGAGTCTGACAGTTTGTGTGAGGATGAGTTCAGTCCAACAGCCAGTTTCTGGGCCCTGCTGTGTCAAGCACTGTGCTGGCCCCTAGTGATACAAAATTAAGCATCAGGGTCCCTGTCCTCAGAGTCCACAGTGAACTAAAGGAGTAGATCTGGAAGCAAAGAGTGGGGAAGAAATCTTTCCTATTGACCCTAGTCCTCTGGATGTCACACGAACCTTCCTTTCAAGCTCAGGTCTAATAAATGCCTGGAGGTGATGCAATCACTTACCTTCTCAATAGTTTTCAGAACAACAGGGTAATTGTTGAAGAAATTGGTATAGGTGTTCAACTGGCTTCCAAACTTTAGGAATATTTCTCCCACACAGCGAGCTGGGCCCCAGTCCTGGAGTCTGTCTCTCAGGTTACCTAGAAACTGCCTGCAACATGAGAAACGCATGCGCGTGAAAGATTGGTCTGTAATAACCTATAAACTTAGTGATTAAATCAGTTGTCACCCATGCAGACTGCTTCAGCCTAGTCATTCGTGGCTGAGCTTTTGTCAATTGCTTTTGTCTTGAGACAGGGCAGTACCGAGCAGTCCCGGGGAAGGGGGAGTGGGGAGGTGAGAAAGTGGGTTGGCTGTGGTGGGATCCCACCTGTTCACCTCACTCCTTGAGTCAGGGCCTCCACAGGCTGCCTCTGACTCTCCCATTCCCACAGGGCCAGCCAGCCAGGCGGCGAAGTCTTCTTTCAATTCTCAGAGTAGAGCATTCAACTCACTTGAGATAGCCATAATCTTCACTGGGCCCATTTCCCCATGAATCTAAGGTTATCCCTCATCCAGCCACCACAAGCCTTGAAAACTGGAAGAGGCCTAGTTCAACCTCTTGACTCTGTGGGGGCCCACAGAGGGTCAGAAACCTCTTCCCAGTCTTCTAGAGCATTACTGGCACAGAAGCACAAGCTTAATTTTGTCTTACTTTACCACCAGGGCAAGCGATCACTTTCCTCCATGAACCCTCACATACTCTAGACACCTGCTGTTACTAAGGTGGACCTTGGGTTCGCTAAGCAAAGTATCCTAGTGACTTAGTCCCATTAAATTCTTTGGTTCCTTTCCCATTGCTTAACTAAACATACTGTCTTGTCTTTTGCATGAACAATGTACTGAATACAGAACCCACTGGCGGTGAACTCCACTCCTAGCACCATGGCTTTGAATTGAAGCAGAAGTAGCACCCCAAGAATCATCACTACTGGCTGCAGCCCAGTGGCAAGAACACTCTCCTCTGCGTGCTGCTCAGGGTCCCCAAGACAGGCGGAGATGCCTGAGCCTCTGTGCAGTTCCGTGTGGATTCTTCCCGCTGCAAAACAAGAATGTCAGAATATGCAAATTTAGGAATTACCTGTTGAGACTTAAAATCTGCAGAATATCAGAGAAAATGATCTGGATGTTTGCAGCACTCAGAATCGCTCGGTTTGAGGACAACGCTGCCTTCAGTGGCCTCACGTAAACATCTCTCACTATTTCCAGCATCTGCACGTATCTTCTCTCGCTCTGTAAGAGCTCCCCGGCCACTCGAGTTCGCTTCACAGCTGAGTCCATCTGCAGCTTTCTCTCCTGTGGAAAAGCATTGAGAATGCATAAGGAGTCTTTCCTGGCTTACAGCTTCAAAAAAGCCTGAGAGTCGAAGGAGATGGAGAAAAGGAAGCAATCAGGCAGTCCCTTGGAGATGCCCCTCTCTGGTCTGTGACGTGCAGGGGTGAAGGGAATCTTGACAGGGGACTATGGAGGCCCCTGCTGACTGTTGCATGTCCCCAGCAGGGGCACACAGCCCCTCCCATCAGGCCTGCATAATGCCATAGCAGAGGTGGAACTTGAATTCTGGATCCTGAGAGGGCCGGCTGAGACGGCTTTTATCTGTTTGCCCCTCGAATACGTGCTCAGCGCTGGGTGCTAGTTGATGACTGGACAATGATGAGAAGACAGATTCCTGCCTTCTCACCACTGTGGGTGAGGAAGCCTTTCGCTTGCCCACTCTTGCTTGTTTTCCTTTTTCCAGGAGTGTTTTATTGATTATCCTGCAGACAGAAGGGCCAAGTGAGCGAGCCCTCCCATTATCGATTTGCTTCCACAGGTGTGTCATGAAATACGGAAGCCCATATTCTCCTTTCATTATTCGGGAAAACATACCTAACTTCGGAAGGGCGGCCCGATCTCTCCTGGGTAGCTAGGCGGTCAACTGTCCTGTTTTCTCCATTTCAAAGTCCTGCTTTATTTTTTTTATTTTTATTTTTATTTTCTTAGATTTTATTTATTTATTTTTAGAGAGGGAATGGAGGGAGAAAGAGAGAGACAGAGAAACATAAATGTGCAGTTGCTGGGGGCCATGGCCTGCACCCCAGGCAAGTGCCCTGACTGGGAATCAAACCTGCGATGCTTTGGTTCGCAGCCCATGCTCAATCCACTGAGCTACGCCAGCCAGGTTTCCTGCTTTATTTTTTAACACAGAGGGGAAAATCATAAACTGATATAAAGAAATTGTAGACCCTATCATTATATCTGCTATGTTTATCTTTGGAGAAATTAGTTTTCACAATGGGAATGGGCAATTCTTTTCCTTTTGTCTGTACTTTTCAAAGGGTGTAAAATGAGCACCTTTATAATGGAAAACAATTATACTATTCAAATGTCTGAAATTATTGGGCTTGTATTTGAGCCTAGAATTATTAATACTCTTAGAACACAATTTCCCCTTTTCCCTTCAGCCCGGAGCATGCCCCAGACTGCCCCAAATAAAACGATGGTAGTGAAGCATAGTGCCATGTGATCTTCACCCAAAATAAATCAACCAGAAGTTTATGAACTAAAATTAAAATGGAAAAGTAACTTAAGAGAAAAATTAGAAAACTCTCTGTTTGTTATACTATAAACACACTGTTCTTAGTGAATTTTATCTCTCAAACACATGGTCTGTATATAATGCCCACTTAGATATATCTAATGAATTAAAAATACATCTACATCCCACTTGAGTTTGCAGCCCATATTATATTTTTATGTGTATTTACATATTTTTTAAATTTATTGGACCTATCCAACATATACAGGATCTAGCACAAATAACACCCCTTTTTATTACAAAATCTTTTATTACAAAATCATAAATATGTGATCCTGTAACGTAACAACAGCACGCTGAAGCACACCATGTGACATTTCAGGTGAAATGTTCAATTGAAACTCTGAATTACCACACCCATATCATGACCCTGCCCACCGCACTGAAGCAGGCCTTCCTGCTGCTGGACCCTGTGTAATGATTTTGACTTAAGGTGTCCGTTGTCACACTTCCTGTCGTCTTAAAACCGTTCTCAGGTGTTGTCGCCCACAGTCAGCTGAGGTGCGGTGCTGCTCACTGACGCCCACTCCAGGGGGGGTGCGGTCTGCACCGCCTGCCGCAGGTGTGCTCCCCAGGCTGCTCTCCGCTGTCACAGAGCCTCGGGCTGAGGTCAGGGCCACAGGGTTCAAGTTTCTTTCTGCCAGTTATCTGTCCTTAGGGAAGTCTTTTAAGTCTTCTGACTTTCGTTCCTCATCTACAAAGATGTGGCTACTAGTAGCTGCATTACAGGACCCCGAGAATGAAATACGACCATAAACGCGGACGGGAGTGGAATCCACACAAGTGCCATACAGTAGCGTGAGGCCGGACCAGGCCTGCGCTTCCACCGCAGCCTCCTCCGCGCACCGCCCTCTCTCGCCCCAGAGACGAGCCCTGAATGTGGCATTACCGGTTCTGCTCAACATCTGAAGTGGGACCATGAGTCAGTCGGTCGGCTGGAATCCGGCTGGAATCCGTGCACCTTCCTGTGCATTTCTTTAAACGCCGTCCCGGCGTCAGGTCAGACAAGCACGGAGCAGCAGAGGTGGCTTTCACTCCCCAGATGAGTCAGAAGGACCTGGGTCCTCTGGACTCAAACTTCATTTTGACCAGGAAACATTCCAAAGAAAACTTATTGCCTGGATTCCCCTCAATTACATTTGGAAGCCCGTCTCCCCCAAACTTTTTTCTTGGAATTTTCTAGAAAAAAAGAAGAACTAACCGGAATAAAGGCTAAAGAGTTTTGTTTTTATTCCCCCCCTCCCAATTCAGGGAGGGTGGCAGGGGGAGGGTCAGGAAAAAACAAAAGGAAAATTCTTATTATGTAGTAATTGGCTTACCAGCTGAACCAGCACCCCAAAATCTGGATCGCTTTGGCTGAGACTTGATTTTGTGTCCCGAGGATTGTCTTCCATAGCGTTTCTTTCCTGGGGAGTCGATGCGGATCAGGTCAGCCGGGGGCAGGAGGCGTCGGACGCCCACGGCAGGCCCTCTGGGCCCTGCCTTCAGCCCCGGCTGTGACTGAAGCACTGAACAAGACCGAGGCCTCTTGTAAAGTAAATTTTATGTTAAAAAATAAAAACAGAGCCTTTAGCTTCCTTTGAACTGCGTTATCTTGAGAAACTAAATCCAGAGCAGCTCCCTTCCAAGCCACCCCCCGCCCCCGCATCTGCGCCCCTACCCAGGCTGAGGGAATCCCACTGTCCTGGGTCAGGGGCCGCTGCCTCCGCTCCGGTTCCGCTCTGTCTCGTGTCAGTTGAGGGCAAACAGGTTAAGGCTCCAGAAGAAAAAACTCACAACACTCCACAAAACACACGGCTTTTATCACCTAATTAAAATGCATCCGAAACAATTCACATGACCTTTCTAGACCTGTCTGTTACCACATTTAAATATGACTTTTTTCTTCACTTTACCCATTGTTTTTTTAAATTGTTTTATTTATTGGTTTTAGAGAGACAAACATCAATTTGCTCTTCCAATTATTGATGCATTCATTGGTCGAGTCCTGTATGTGCCCTGCCCAGGGATCGAACCCACGACCTTGGCATATCAGGACAATGCCCTGACCACATGACCAGGGCCGTTAATTGTTCTTGGGGACTCCATATAAATTAGCAGCATCCCTGGGTCCACTCTAGCAATAGGACAATGGTCCGACGTTTATGCTGAGAGCTACTAAGGGAGGATTAATGGTCATTAATGCTGCCGTGTGTTGTCAACGATAAAACTACCCGTGGTCAAATCTTGATATCCAGGGGTGAGACTGGAAGGAAACAGCGATTTGTAAGCGAGACTCCTTTCACCTTACTGAGGCAAAAACTAATTTGTTCTGTACCTGTAGCCCCAGGGCTGCCTGAAGGCTCCCGGTTAGGGCCCTAGGGGGTCCTGACTGCAGCCCCACAGCTTCTCCCTGGTGTCTGGAGGCCCCCCTGAGCCTGCGTGCTTTCTGCCATTTCCCAGGCCTTCCCCATTCCGGGCATGGCATCCCAACCTGGCCTGTGTTTGTATTTATGCTAGGGGGGTAACATCTACTTTGAGTTTTAACAAAATGTTTTAAAATTTCTCTGAGTGGAACACTCTTTTCTCCCAAAATAAATAATAGCACTGATCATTTTTATACTGAGAAATGGCAACTTCAACCAATCAGCAGTGACACCAATAGTTGTGTAGGTCGAATGGTTGCAGACACGAAGGGAAAATTAAACCCAAACTGCCAGGCCCAGGATTAGGAGAACCCAAACAGAACAGAATTGCTTGTGGCTCTCATAGATAGGGGAGGCACCGTCATCTGGGAGAGCACCCTATTGTAAGGGCTCACCTGAGCGCCAATGCGTTAAAATTCAGGCGTCAGCATGGACCCCAGACCATCCTGGTTCTTTCTTAAGCTGCTTGCTCACACGGGGGCTTTGTTTCTCCTCTGGCTTAGCTGCAGCTATTTTTATTAAATATCAGGTTTTCTTTGTGGACAGGAAATTGACATGGCATTGTAATTTTGTTTGAACCTAAAAGTATCAAGTTTTCTCATTTATTACACATCTAATGATTAGAAATTTTAGAGAATGTTTTTAGATTAAGATAACATCCCTTATTTTGTTTTTCAGGATAAATTCAGAGGGAGTAACAGAAGCAACAAACTTCGCACATTTCTAAGAAAACAATTATTTTGGGTCGGTGGCCTTTGCCTTGGCTCTCCCCTGGCATATAAGAGCAACATCCAATTGATCACATGGTAGAAATTTTCCTCCAGGATGGAGCAGGCAGGCACTGCATGTTCCAGAGACACCCCAGTTTGCTGGTGCTTCTCCCAGAAAACACTTAGCTTTCTGTATTAGGGGCCAGAAATAGTTGTGAAAGTGACAGGTCCTGCTCAGGGACAACTATGGTTTTGGCTGTGACTCACTGCCATGGTTGTGTGGTATTAGGGTAAACACTGTGGGCACACAGAAACCAGCAGTCACTGCTCACTGGGCAGCAAGATGGGGGATGGGCGGACAGGTGGGCAGACAGATGAGTCTGTCTCTACCTACATATATCCATGTGTGTGTGTGTGTGTGTGTGTGTGTGTGTGTGTGTTGTCCTGGATTTGGCAGACAAGCCCCTGAGGAAGGCTCTTTGAAACAGTATCTCAGCAGACGGCATGACTTTCCACTCCTAAGGCTGTGAGGTTTATGTGCTTCTTTTGGATGAATACCTCGTTTCATTTAAAGTAAACCCCCATGTGTGAAGTGGTAACTCAGCTTCTCTATTTTATCCTAATGCAGCACCCACATTTAACCTGTGGTTTTTTTCCCTCCTGGGGGTCCCCAACTTTGTTTTATGGGCTTTGTACATAAGCTCTTGGTACTAAATAATAGAAAACCAAATAAGAATCTAACATATTTTTCTACTTGATTTTTTAAATAAAAGTATCAATTAAAAAGTAAAAATATACCCAAGAGATTTCTAGGCATTAAGGAGTTTCACTGTCTGTAGTTTCATCACAGACAGGTGCTATAACCCTAGCAAGTCTGATTTCCAGCATTGAGGCAACTTTAAGCTCAAACTTTCTGCTCTATTTTATTAAAGTGAATACATGTTTAGTTTGGCAGCAGGCTGAACATCTACCCTCTGGGAGAATAATCCCCAAGAATTGTATAGAGATTTGGGGTGGCCCGAGGGGACACTGACTCTAGTGGTCCTCTTGTCGCCCTTCCCAGCACTTCACCATCCACAGCAAAGACTTCCAAGATGTCAGGTTGTAGGAAAACAAGTGATTTACCTGCTAAGGGAACTCACAGTCTAAATCCCTACGACCATTCTCCGTGGTGAGTTTGTGTTGGGGCTGGCATCCCAAGCCTATGATCATGCAAGACAGGTAGGTGGTGGTTCTATGGGCGTAAGATGGCTCTAAGATGACATTTTTATAGAAGTCAGCTCTCTGAATGACAATGCAATTTTCCATGTTTCCTGGATCCTGATGATTTCACTTAATCAAGAATATATAGATTCTGCCCTGGCTGGTGTGGCTCAGTGGATTGAGTGCCAGATTGTGAAGAAAAGGATCGCTGGTTCGATTCCCACTCAGGACACATGCCTGGGTTGCAGGCCAGGTCCCCAGCTGGAGGTGTGTGAGAGCCAACCACACATTGATGTTTCTGTCTCTTTTTCTCTCTCCCATCCCCTCTCTAAAAATAAATTAATTAAATCTTTTTTTTTAATATATGGGTTCTGAATACAGTATGGGCAGAATCATTATTTTTTGCCTGAAGAACTAAATTCAAACCCACTTTTTTCTCTTTTATGAATTTGAATCTCAATTAAGAAAGAAGAATAATTCTTAGTTTAACACACACACACACACACACACACACACGTCCTGGGAGGCAAATGAAAAAAAAATCTAAGTTATCTCAAGACTCAACTGAAAAAGAGGCAAAATGCAAACGTCCAACTTTCCTCTGAACCCTAGGAGCGTTATTCCTGTCCACATGGTGCAGCTTATGCTTGTAAGTACCTTAAACATTACTCGGGATACTGCAAACACTTTTGCAAATAATAATTCAAGGAAATAAAGTTATTACAAGAAATGAGCAGCTGGAAGCCATCCAGGCGGAACTGTCATCATTGTCTGTGAACTACTCAAGCACGTGTGTCTGACTCCTGACTGAAGCAATAGCACAACATGCAGCGGTCACTTTACCTTCACGAATGAGTGGAACGTCGCCTTTGGGTCTGGTTTTGTCAGAATAGCATTTCCTTCAAGATCTTTGCTCTTTTCACTACATTTCTTCAACAGAAAATGTGACAAAAATTCCAGAGGTTTGTCCTGAAAAATCCACAACCCCAGAACCCCCCCAAAATTGTATTTAAAGCCTTCATCAGAAATATAGATCAACAAAACTGTAGTAGAAAAGAGAACCTGTTTTTTAGTAGAGTTTGCAATTTTCTACCTAATTAAGTTATAAGTCCAGCAAACAAAGTAGTGATTATTCAACCAACTAGAGTCAGTAAGTGAGACTTTCTGGTTAATCATACATTCCAGTTGCCATGTATATTCTTGATTCTCAACTGACTGTCATAATTCAAGTCGTATGCCAAGGTCTTATAGGAGGGTCTCAAGATCTTCAGAACCAAAGTGGCCCACACACCAGCCTCTTGGCCAGATGAGGAAGAGGGCAGGAGGGATTTTATCTTTCAGGAGAAAGGCAGCTTGAAAGAGGGACTACACAGCTAAATGGCTGGGAAAAGCACTCAAATTTGGTTCCATCCACAGTTATTTTTAAATAATGAGCTGGCAGTAAGTGCACTCAACCTACACCAAACACATCTAGTACATCTTTGGTGTTTCGGGAGACAGTGCAGGACCTTTCAAAGTCTCAGTGTCGCCCTGTAAACTTCCCTGATCATTCAAAGCTCACCAGAGCACTCATCCCTCAGCTGCCCCGGGGTTGGCTGGAGCGCCCGGAGCTGAGACTTCAGGGAAGGCAAATCATGGCCCGCTGCAGCTTCTCAGACTCCACAGCAAACCCCTAGCCCTGGGGATGCCTGGTGGCTGCCCAGGAAGCCACGGTGGAACCAAAGCAGACACAGGACAGAACAGGAGAACGCACGCAAAGACAAAGTGAAATCCGCCCACAGAGTCAAGTTACTGCAGCGGAAGAGATGGACTGGAGAACCTCCTGTTGAAAGACGAAAGCCCTTGCACAGCACCCAGCGTGTCTGTGCCGTCCCTAGTCCCGTCCTCCTGTCCACTCCCCCTGGCCCACGGCTGCCCAGTCCACTTTCCCGGAGCCTCGTGAGGGTCTCGGGGCCTCTGCTCACTGTGTCCTCACACGTGGACTGACTTTTCCGGGAGAGCGTCCAAGGTTCGCTTCTGATGGAAATGCGTCATCAGGCGTCCCCCACGCTGGCCCCCAGCCAAATGATGAGCAGGCTTCTTCCCGTCCTTCTGGGTTCTCTTTCCCCTCCCCTCATCCACCCTCTGGGCCCTTCATCCTTTTCCATCTGCTTTCACACTTTTTCAGTTTTCCTGTCCTACTATTAATTGTTTTAACCATGGATTAATATTTACGTGAAATATAAAGCCACTCACGTGTTTTTTAAAGAAGTCATTTCTGACTGAAATGATTCACAAAACAGAACACAATGCACAATGGAGCCCATTTTTAAATAACCTGGATTTTCTGTCCGTCTGTCCATCTGTCTTGTGTGCCTAGTAGGCCTGGGGCCCAGAGTCTGTCAGTGCTCTTCTTACAAACTGATGTGACTTTTCTGAGGAACTGTGCCCTGGAGGGATATGCTAGTTAAAAAAACAGTAATAAATACAAACTAAAAATGTATTTAAGTGTTGGGATTTCGTAGTATACTTTATTTTTTTTTAAAATGCTTACAGAATTTTCTCTTAAAAGCTCCGTCAGTCCATCTGCCAGAGCTCGTGCGATCTCTTGGTTGTGCAGAGTGTCGGTCACGCCCATGGTGTCAAACATGAACTGTCCTGCAATCAATTTATGTAACAGATATGATCAAGAAGAGCACAGCTCGGTCCTCACAGTTGCTTTTTAGTGGATAAAGATGCAAAGAATAAAAATTGTGATTCTGTTACACCATGAAGGTTATCTATCATGATAAAAATATAAAGCCAGCAAAAGCAGCTAAATGTGCAGGGCGTAAAAAGGACCCACCCCAGCCAAGCTGATGCTGAATAAAATCTACAACCTGGACAATAAGGAGAGAACGTGTGGAAATGAACCTTATAGGTTTAGATTTTAGACTCACAATCCCACCAGAGATCCCTCCACACTCTCATTTATCTTTGTGCTCAGATATAAATATTTTAAGACCATAGAAAATAATATCCTAACATACATACAGAGACATCTTTTACATTTAAAAATATTGAACAACATGCATTTATATGACAAGAATTTTCTTCCATTCTACTTCTTATTGTTCACATATATCATCAAGAGATCTGCATGCACACTCGTGTGTTATGGCTCTTGTGTAGAGAGTGACTGTGTAAACATGCTAAATAAGGAGCAGGCTGGGGAAAGGAAGTAAGGCATACGTATATAATAACCTGATTCAAAGGGTGTTTTATTTAGTTATATGGAAAAGGGGGAAATTGAACAGGTAAAGATAGAAGGAAAACTCATTGGCCCATGCGGTAAAAAAAAAAAAGTATTTTAAAAAATGGACTGATTTAGATGAAGTTCCAGTTGACACAGGGCATCGCTTCCAAAAGCCTCTGTTGTGATAATTTGGTCAAGGCTGTGGAGTGTAAATGAGAAAATAAATTCAATAGTGTCCAACAGGTTCAGCAGAGGACTCTGGAATCCATCACCCAATTACACGTTTTAGGTAAAAAATAAATAGAACACAATTGCAAAGCCATTTAAGTAATGGGTGTTATGCTTTAAGAGGTGCTTAGCTTTGACAGAAAACTGCCATGAGAAAGGACAGAGTTCTCAGGCTGAGCAAACACACAGTGCATTTGGCCTGGGTAAACAATTGACTGACACAGGATTAATACGACGGTAAACTCTGAAACCAGGAACTGGCTTCAGCATGAAGATGAATATATTTATTTGTCTTCACAGGTAATATTTATTAAATAGTATTTAATATTTATTCTTAATGGGTATTCATTAGATTTGAAACAGGACATGAAAAACAAAGGGAATAAAGTAGCACTCACAATATTTAGGAGTCAACTTTTACATTCCTAAACTTGGGCTGGCCCTGGATGTGAAACAAACTTCATAATCAGACTGCAACAGAAGTAGCAAGAGTTCTTACCGATCATCCTGCCACTGACATTCTTCTGCAACTCCTTGAAGAGAGGACTTAACTGTTTCCTTACTGATTTCAAGGTGTCTTCCAGGAAGTCCGTGAGGCTGGACCACGTCTGCAGCTTCGATTCGCTGAAGTAGATGGAGGGCGGAGCCCTTCCCTGCGGGGGTCCCAGCCAGTCGCTAAGAACTGACACGATTTCCTCCTCTTATTAGTGCAGACATAAGCTCAGGTGAAATCATTCTACTTCTTTCGGATAGTACACACGCGTGTGCACACACACACACACACACACACACACACCCCTTAGCTGTATTTACATCAGGCTTATTATCCTCTCCCCTTAGAAGGCTAAGATAAACACCCATAGTCTGCTTTCAAAGGTAAAATTAGAAACTCAAAAAGATTACAATGAATAATATCAAATGTCTATCTACTTTTTGATAGATGGGGTTGATATATTTGAAATAAAAAAATTAAATAGCTGCTGGATTTGTGCATGGGGAAGCAGAGCAGACATCTAAGTAAGAACGTACCATGTTATGTTTTTATCCTCAAAAGGAAAACACAAGGGAACCCCACCCTGCCTGCTTTCCCCATCATACCATCCAACGTCACCCCTGTCCTAGCCAGCCCTGCATGTTCCTTACATTATGTCAAGTTGCGCTTGCTCTCTCTCTCTCTCTCTCTCTCCAAATATCTCCGCATGACTCCAGCGGGTGCTTACACAAGTCTTTCTCCTTGAAAATCAGTTACTGAAGGGCACAGTGCCACGTTCAATTTGATTTTCCATCCCGAACGGATAGATAGGCTTGTCTGACTCTCCCCCACCCTGTGTTTATTGCTGACCATGTGAAAATCTTTGTGACTGTTCTCCCAGAGGGAGAGTAAGAAGAGTGGGGGGAGGAGGACGATCAGGGGGAAGAGGAGGCAGAGGAGGAGAGAAGAAGGAAACTTGCTCTGCAAACACAGTGTGTGTCCCCTGCTCCGCTCTGCGAGGCAGATTCCCCTCTCCAGGGCCAAACATGTTCTCACTGGGGGATGTTGTCATATAAGCTAAAATTAACAAGTAACTTCTGTTACAAAACCATGTGAAATCAATGCGCTTTTTGTTACAGCATTTCCCAGACAAGTTCCCCAATCGTGGTGGCAGCTTTCCCGTCTTCAAAGGTAATTTGGGATCAGAGAGGTAATGCTTTATATCATCTCTATATCACCCCGAATGCTGTGTGATAAGAGGCAGGGAGTTTTAAAGGGGAAATGATTCGCATTACTGTGACAAAGCCGTTGGTTCTCTTGTTGGTGAGCCAATGCTGTGGTTCAATCTAGTATCTTCTGCTTTTGCATCTAAACAAAACTTTGCTTCCAGGTGTGTTGTATCGCTGGCTGGTTTTCCTCTCACATAATGAAATGGAACCTGAGCAAGCCTCTTAATCATCTCTTTATAGCTGAAACTCATTTTTCCAAATGAAGCCCTACTAATTATATTTACTAAAAACTATTCTTTGTATGTATTATTTCTCTGGATCAGCAACTATACATCTTTGTTTAACTGGTAAAGATGATGTTTTCAACTGAGTTTTACAAATGATGGCTTGAAGCAAATATCTGCAATACATAATCCCCTTTCTAAGCAAATGACAGAGTGATGGGAAATGACACAGTTTCGGAGAAGGAACGGTAGTTGATGTCAGCCAGAACCAGTATTATGTGGCCGCACTTTGTCTTTTGGTGACCCTGGAGTTGGTGGGCGTTATTGGGCCCGGGGTGGGGGGTCAGCACCCATGTGCACTTACTGTGCTGGTAAGAGCCAGTTGCAATCCCGGTGGGGGCAGTAAATAACGTGCCAGTTAGTTGAGACAGCTGAGAAAGAACTTCTACGCCTGCATCTGCACACAAAATACTTTTATTAGTTTACTCACAGGTTTTGCGGTGAAACAGGTAAGTAGTACTTAGGAGCACTAATGAGCCGGCCATGAAAGGCCATAGCAGTTCTCGTCCTCATTTCAAATCCCTCGTGGAACAGGTCACCAACACGTCACAGCTCAGCTCTACGTGCTGAGGTCCAAACACGGAATTTATGCGGACTGCACAACAGGGTGGAGAAGAGGGCGTGAGGTTTGAGCTTGTGCTCATTTTCACATCTGGAATACTCGGGCCAAAGGCACAGAAGAGGAAGTCTCAGTGTAAAAGGAGAGACATAAAACCATTAAACACCGAACAGAATACGATGGTCAAACTTGAGCCCGGCATTAATTTCACTCCCTCTTCAGTGACACTGTAGACTGAAGTATGCTCATCATCTTGACTGTCCTATGGCTTCACGGGCTATGACACATGTCAGAATTTAGCCAATTGCACACTTTAAATATGCATAGATTGTGGTATGTCAACTACACCTTAATAAAACTGTTTAGAATTGTTAACAATTGTTAATGCCCCCAGAAGATGAATTTTAGGTTTCTGGCTTATGAAGTAACTGGGTGAACGACCGTATCTTAACCGAAGAATCCAGGGGAGGGGGAGTCTGGTGCTGGGCGGGCAATGGCGAGTTTGTTCCCGATGTGTTAGCTCTGAGAGGCTCTTAGATGTGCCAACTGAACAGCCGTAGGAAGATGCCGAGCACGAGTTAGGTATGGGTGTGCAGCTCAGAGGTACCTGAGCTAGAAGCATCAGTTTGGGCGTTTCTGGCTTGTGGATTGAAGTCAGAGTCTCGGGAATAGACGAGACTGCATGGGGAAAGTGTGGGCTTGGAAAAGGAGAGCACCCAGGATCAAGCCCTGGGCACCTTTAAGGGTCTTGCGGAGGAGGAGGGGCTGGCACAGGAGAAGGAGGAGAAGCTGCCGCTGAGGTGGGAGGAAGACTAGGAGAGTGTGGTCTCAGGAAATCAAGAGAAGGAGGAGAGTTCCGAGGAGTGGTCCTCTGCGTCCAATGCCGCTGAGAAGTCAAAGCCAAGTGAGGAGAAGAAGGGACCAGTGGGTTTGGGCACGTGGAAGTCACTTATTTTCTTCTAAAAGCAGTTTCGGTAGGGAGAAAGAGACCACCTGCAGGAGCTTGAGGAGCAAATGACAGGTGAGGAAGGTAGACCAACAGTTCCCAGAGGGTGGCCGTTGGGTGGGCAGTGGCAGCAACACCTGGGAACGTGGTAGAGATGAAAATCCTCAGGCCCCGCCCCAGACCCACTGAATCAGACACTCCAGGACGGGGCCCAGCGATGCGTCCCTCAACAAGACCTCTGGGTGATCCAAACACACGCTGAGGTTGGAGAAACGCTGGTAGAGTCAACTTAAAATGTGGCGAGGGAAAGTTTATGATCTCTCTTTTTGTTTTTTTCAGGACAGGAGCTACTCCAGGTGTTCCTGGTTTGATAGGAGTGATCCACTACAGACAGAGATCCACTGCAGACAGAGAACTGAGGCCACACAAGAGGGTGCAGGCGCAGAAGTGCAGTCGGAAGGTGAAAAGCAGTGGGCTGCGGAGCCCAAGTGGAGCAGCTGGTCTTCCCCTTGAGCAGAGAAGCTTCTTCCACAGCGAACAGGAGGGGAGACGGAGAATGAAGGTAAGCGGCAGGGCAGGTGGTGGATCCGGCGTCAGGGGGGAAATTAGGGAGTTGTCCTGGGGAAGTAAAAGCTGAGGTCCACGGCTGAGAGAGAACATCGCTGAAAGGACTGACTCCAGGGGAGAAGGGGGGAAAGAGTTATTTCAAAGGGCGGGGAAATGGATTTGCCCAGGAAATGAGGTAGGATTGCTTTATCGGTGCGGCAACCCTGCCTGATATTTAGGCCCTTGCAGTAAAGTCAGGTCAGTAAGAACACTTGCATTGCTTCTCCCAGCAGCCTTCAGCTGCCTTAGCGCAGGCTGGGAAGAGAGTTTGCAGGTGACTGTGTTTGAGCCAGCGCTGGACTTTAGCCAAAGGGGTGGGGATTTCACCGGGAAAAAGACAAAGAAGTTCAGTCTTTGCAAGAGAGTAATGATAAGGATGACCCATTAAATCCAAGTTTAACGAGGAAGGAGCCAAGGACGAAGGCATGGTGATAGAGAGAGAAAGAGGGGAGTGTGGATTGCAGCTCTTCAGGCAAAGAACTGATAGAGTGGGAATGTTGATTCATGGATTGGAAGTGGTACTTAAAGAGACAGGTGCTTGAAATCCAAGATGTCAGAGGTGATACAGCTATAGAGTGATGCTTGAGGCGGTGGAAGAGAGAGTTTTGGGCAGAGAAGCCAGGGTCATCTGACTGAACCAGGGCATGATGGTTCATCCAGGTGGAAACTGAACACCGTTCACAAGAAGTTCAGGGATGGTTTCAGGGCCCAGGGTGGGGGTGGGAAATCTGTAGTTTGAGTGCCACTAAGTTTCACTGAGACAGTTTTCATGTCACCAAATCTATTTGTTTTCCTTTTTTGCCTTTATTGTCTGACTTTCAATCTTTTACTTTCCCATATTCTTTCTTTTTCTTCTCCAATTAGAAAATTTGTTGTGCTCTGATTATAAAAGAATGTAATACTAGTTTATTACAGAAAATAGAGGCAAATAAGGTGAAAGAAAAGATTTAAATATAAAAGGAAGGAAATCTCACTTATCTTATCCAACCACTGTTGACACCTTGGTATATGTCCCTTTCTGTATACAGACCCCCCTCAAAAAACACAGGTTATATGCATGCAACCACAATATCTGTATTCTCTGTAACACACTTTTAAACACTGTTGAAAATTATAAAATTTGAAAAACACATCTAGGGATAGATTCTGTTACTATTTTGCTATATTTCCTTATTGATTTTTCTATGCATATTTTCTCTATAGTTTAGGTTATATTATTGTAATAACTGTAAAAAAATAGAATCTCATTTTCCTTTAAACACTTTCCCTCCTTTTGTTTTTATCCTTTCCCCTGGTTGAAGCTTGCTAGTGAAATTTGAAAATTAAGAACTTTAAAATTCAGTTCTCTAAAGAATAGGTAATAAGAAACAGTTTGAGAAAATTTAATTTCATGCTCTCCCTCCCCTGTTCTGCTTGGTAAAAACCAACCAACCAAACAAACAAACAAACCCAGAGCCCATGAAGGCAGGGCTTTTATTTAACAGATAACTCAAGAGTGAATTTGATTTAATGTTTCTGAAATTTCCCTTCAAGTACTAAAATCAACTTCAAATTATAGTGGCTGTGACTAGACAGGGAGGCACTTAAAATTATATCAGCAACCTCAGTGATCAGCAATTACACTCATCTTCACAAAGCACGTCACTGTTTCTAGTGTTCTAATGTGAAGTATTTATATTATTACTGATTTGTATAAATTAAGTTTTTATATTTTTTGATATTCACGAGTCCTATAATGTCAGGTAGTTTTATCCTAATGCTCACAGGAGGAAATGGAGGTTCCCAAACTGGCCTAAGGCCACGCAGCCAAAGTGGCCCGAGCAGGATCCAAGTCCAGGTTCTTGGTCACCAAGTTCGCACTCACACATTCCAGGTTCAGGACACAGCATGGCAAACTGTGTCAGACTGACCAGTCACAGCTCCTGTGCTGATGACGTGCTTTCCCTCGTGTTGTGCAGCCTGACTTCACTGTGTTTTCCAGAAGAAGCAGAAATAACCTTCCTGCCTGGCTCTTGTCACTAGTGACTTCATTTCTACCGAACAGTTTACTGGGACCACTAGCCTCAAAGCCTATTTCCTCTAAATGCCTGACTATATAAGGTATAAAGCAAAAAAGAAAGAAAGAGTAAATGTGACAGAATCATTTGAACAAATTCACAAAATATCCTAAGGTGGGCAGGGCCACTACCTTTCAAGCCTCACCTGATGCTCCGAGTGGCACGAAGAGGTCCACGTGACCCCCTTCTTCTTCAGGGGCCACACAGCTGCCTAATTTCTCCCAGAAGTCTCTCACCTCTGGCTTCAATAAATTTTTAATACCGATTTTATAGCCTGAGGAAGAAAATCAAAAAGTCATATTAATTTGTAACATTGTCATGACTAGAAACTCTTAGCAGCTTGTGAAAAATGGAAGCACAATTCAAAAAATCAACATCTGCCCCTCAGATCAAGATCGGCAGGGCATCTGGGCTTCCACGCCACAGCGTGGTCACACAGCGTGTCCAGGCCACGGAAGGTACCACTGGACTTCAGCATGGCCCTAGTCTCCTTCACACTCCGGATTTACTGGACACTACGCACTTGGTTGGGGACCTTGTGTTCCTGCTGTCACCGTGTAGCAGTGGAAGGGACCAGGCTCACGACAGGGTTCAGCGCAGATGGCCAGTCAAGTACTGGGACTTTGCAACCAAGTTCTAAAGGAGAAATGTTTCCCACGAATGTCAATCAAAAAATAAGCCACTTGGAGCAGAAATGATGCTCCAGGAGATGGCAGACGTCACCGCAGTGCTCACTCCCTGGGAATGTGGGCGATGACTCAGCCCACCTGTGCGTGTCTGGGCTGATTTCAGAACCGGTCCTGGAGGCTCAGCTTTGCTGGCCCCACAAAGGTAATGCACATGGAGTCACACGCAGAAGCTTGGCGGTTTGCGCCTTCACACTGAGAGGTCCAGGCACATAATGGAAGGTCCTTTCCAGGTGACTGGACTGAGATTCCATTTTGTTGTTTTTAAGGCAAAAGCTTTGGGGGAAATGCCACAGTTATATAGAAGGAAACTTTAGTTTTCTGTGGTATTTTTGTTATTGTCACTGTTGCCTTAATGAAAGGAAACAAAGAAAAGGCAGCGTTTGGAAACCTTTCTCATCTGGAGATCAGCCCTGACTGGTGTGACTCAGTAGGTGGGGCATCAGCCTGGAAAGTGAAAGCCACTGGTTCGATTCCTGGTCAAGGGCACTCGCCTGGGTTGCGGGTTTGGTACTGGTTGTGATGCTTACGAGGGGCAACCAATTGATGTTTCTCTTACACATTGATGTTTCTCTCCTTCTCTTCCTCCCTCCCTCCCCCTCTCTCAAAATAAATAAGTAAAATCTTAAAGAAAAAAAAAAGAGCTGCGATCAGGAAAAAGCCCTGACAAGCCCTCTTGCCCCGCAGGAGGCACACCTGCTGCCACAGTGCAGACCTGCGCTCGCACGTCACTGTTCAGTGAAGAGCCACCGTGTGACCCGTCACCAATGCAAACCCCAAATAGCAGCTGCGCTTTACTTTGGGGGATATAAAAATTGGGTGTGGAATACAACTCGCTTCACGCACAGGTAAACTAAACAAGAAAAGTGAAAAATAAGGCACAGCTGAACCAAAGACTAATAACAAAATTCACTGAAACTTGAGGTCCAGCCCCAGACATGGCAGTTCGGCGGGCGGTGGGGGTGTTCGCTCCGCCGGCGTGTGAGCTCCCTGCCAGCTGGCCCCTGGGCCAGACCTGTTCCCTCTCCTCCCTCGTCCCACAAAGGTAGAAGATTTCAAGTTAGTAAAACTGAAACAATCCTATTTTAGGTATAAGCTAAGAAAGATGCAAGTTACAGTGAGAGGAAGAATAGGAACTAAAAGTTTTATTTCTAAAATATTTAGCACCTCCTTCCCCCTAAACAGGTAACTACTGAAGTTTTTAAAAGATGGCCCATGACTGGTGAATGATGTCGGCCGACCCTCTCCTTTGCGGGCAGCCATGTGGAAGTACAAGGAGTGCTGTCAGTGCACACCAGCGTACAGATCTGGGTTTGCTGCTATTAAAATTGCTTAACTTTCATCAAACTTAACATTTTTGTGCATCAAAGGACATAATCAACAGAGTAAACGGCAACCTACACAATAGGAGAAAATATTTGCAAACCATATTCTGATAAGAGGTCAATACTCAGATCATATAAAGAATGCCTACAACTCAGTAACAAAAATCAAATAATCCAATTAAAAATGGGCAAATGACTTGAATAGACATCTCCCTAAAGATGTCCAAATGGCAACCAGCATATAAAAAGATGTTCAACATCACTAATCGTCAGAGAAATGCAAATCAAAGCCACGATAGATGTCACCTCATACCCATTAGGATGGCTACTGCTTAAAAAATAACCCGGAAAATAACAAGTGTTGATGAGATGGGAAGAAGTCGGAGCTCTTGTACGCTGTGGGTGGGATTGTAAAGTGGTGTAGCTACCACGGAAAATGTAGTATGGTATTTTCTCAAAACATTAAAACTAGAACTACCATATAATCCAGCAATTCTACTTCTGCATACATAACCAAAGGAATTAAAAGCAGTCTCAAAGATATATTTGCATACTCACATTCATAACAGCACTAGTCACAATAGCCAAGAGGCGGAAGCAACCAAAATGTCCATCAATGAATGAATAAACAAAGTGTGTTATATACATACAGTAGAATATTATTCAGCCTTAAAAAAGGTAGAAAAACTTGCTACATGCTACAATATGGATGGACGAACTTTGAAGACATTATATAAAATGAAATAGGCCAGTCACAAAAAGTCAAATACTATATGATTCCAGTTATATGAGATCTAAATTAGTCACCTTCATAGGAGCAGAAAGTGGAGTAGCAATTCCTTGGGGCTTGAGAGACAGGGAAAAGGGAGTTCTTGTTTAATGGTGTGATGGTTAATTTTATGTGTCACTCTAGTGGGGTGCCCAGAATTTTGGTCAAGCATCATCCTAGGCGCATCTGCGATGGTGTTTGGGGGCGACATTAACATTTGAACGGGTAGGCTAAGCAAAGTAGATTGCCTACTGTGGGCGGGCCTTGTTTCCGCAGTGGAAGGCCCGAACAGAGCTACTCCTGCCTGGTTAACTCTGAGCTGGGTTGTCAACCTTCTTAACAACTGGGAACTTACACAGCACCAGAAGGTCATCTACGTGGACAGACACTGCATCGGTGCACAGTTGGCTGTTCTTTCCAAGCCCACCTTACCTTGCAGTAAGTTGATTTCTCTGCTATCTCCATCACTAAATATTCCCACACTCTGTGCCTTCTGCCCATCCAGAGCTTTGTCTATGAGGTACAGCAGGCTCTCCAAGGTCATGCCGCTATGTTCGTACACCACAGAGGTGACACCCGCCCTGACACTGTCCACCACCATCTAGAAGATAAAACCAAAGCCCTTTACTTGAGACTGTTAATGATAGAAGTTTAATGAATATGTCTTCTGTGACTTGGAAAGACTATTGTTTTTTTCAGAAATTATGGAAAGAGAAACATAACCTTTCTCCTTCACTGGGCTTTTAAGAATTATTTTTTTTCTTATTATTAGAAGAGAAAATGATGTACATTTGTGTGTGTATCACTCAGATAAATTCTAGTAATAAGTTAGGTTATTTCCTTCCACCCATACACAGAGACATATACAGCCTTCAAAAAATAATAAAATTGACATCATTCAATTTTGCAATAGACTTCTGAGATAGATTTAATTTTCTTCTTAGTTATGAGTTTTTGCATTATACGCATTGATAAAAATTTCCCACTTAAATCAAAATCAAAAACAAAAACACCATTTCTTGAATTCAACAACCAAATAAACTTCACTGTGACAGATTTAATTGGTTAGCGGCAGACAGGTCAGAAAGTCACTGAAGTCATTAATGTTTCACAAAACCTCAGGCCGCCTTCTGGAGATCAGAGTTCAGCAGAATGGAGGACCACCACACGGCTACACCCTCCTTTGTACCTACCCCCCAACACCACGTTCATAGTCAAGTAGCTATGACACAGTATTATATACAGAAGACAGGTAGGAGAATTGACTTATTTTATATCAGTTTATTCACCCATGCTCTGTCACCAGTTACTCTCTGTGCCCAGCACGGTGAATTTGCAAACATTAGGGAAACTGTGGCCCATGCGGAGATCAGAACTCTGATCTTGCTTCCCTGTGGACCTGCTAAGTCAGCCCTTGTAAGTGGTTAAGGTCCATCCCTAGATGCTCAGAAACAGAAATGATTTCATATCTTAACAAGAAACATTTTGGCCCTGGCCAGTGTGGCTCGGTTGGTCGGGCATCATCTCACAGACTGAAAGGTTGCCTGTTGGGTCTGGGAACACACAAGAGGCAGCTGGTGGATGTTTCTCTTCCTCTCTCTCCCTCACTTCCCCTCTCTCTAGAATAATTTAAAAAAAACCATTTTGTTGCAAATAGGAATATTTTGGGAAAACTTTAAGTAGGCTAGTCTATTATATAACCTACTAAATATTATCGCTTACATATGTCCCTATGTGTGTACTAATATATATATGTACTTCCTTTATTTTCCTTATTTATATTGAAATTAAAATATGTAACTTCATCATAGAAAGAGTATATTTTAATTTAATGACACCCTCATTATACAGACCACGAAATAGGATTTCTGACATTATCCCTTTGAGAGGTGCTGGGTACATATTGTTAATTCCTTGGGCGTTGCAAAGAAGTTTTAAAATAATCTGCAATCACCTTGTTCTTTTGTGGATTAAGTGAAGCAAATTCAGTAAGTATTTATTGGATACCTACTAAATATAGGCAGTCTAGGCCTTTAATGCTTTATTTTTTGTTTCTTTAAAATTTTTATTTTAATTTTTAAATAGACAATGAATCAATCAAACCATACATTTTATAGTTCACTCAGAGAATCTTAAAAATAACTGGTTAGTAATTCTTTTATTTTCATAAAGTTACGTTACTTTCAGTAATTATATATTAGTGCTCTTTTTAGAAGTAACAATTCTCAGTGAGCTAATACTTTGTAGCAGTTTTTAACATGTACATGTATATTCACTCATAAAGCATATATAGTACAAACCTCTGTTCAATATTTCCATTAGCTGGATCACTAGAGATTTTTAATGGTTTAACTTAAATTAATAACTTTACATGAAGTGATCCATATAATAAACTTTTGTGTTAGAAGAGACTTATTAAATAGTGCTTTGAATTCTATGACACAGCAATTAATAAATCTCGAATACCTAACAGGTATTTTCTATACTGAAAGAACTTAAAATTGAGTGCTATTTACACTGGAGGAGAGCATACCAAAGAACTAAATTAATGTTCTGTAATCAAAGAATGTCTGTGCTTTAATTCACTTCATACATCCTAATCACCAAATTAAAATTTTAGGAACTTCTAATTCATCCATAACAACAAAAGTATACAAAAATTGAGTGGAAGAAAATATAAGTTGTCATTTTTAAGTTCTTTTCCTTTTTATTGAATTTATTTTGGTGATACTGGTTAACAAAATTTTGCAGGTTCCAGGTGCACAATTCTACAACGCATCATCTGTACACTGTACTGTGTGTTCACCCCCCCGAGTCACGTCTCCATCCACCCCCATCTACCCCTGGGCCCTCCTCCACCCACTCCCACCCCCCAGGCAGCCACTGCACTACTGTCAGTATCCCTGAGGTTTTTCTCTCTTTTTATTCTGCCCCATCCCTTCAACCTCCATTCAGCCCACCCCCCCAAAAACCTGTCAGCCTGTTCTCCATCTATGAGTCTGTCTCTAATTTTGATTTACGGTTATCATTATTGGTTCTCATTTTTAAAACTGCTCTGTGTTTGTAAATTCCCACCTAGAGAGGACCAGTTGTCTTATAGGAGATGAATCATTTTCATGCACTTGGTGGCCAAGGATCATCGTACAATCTGCAGTCTCAATGAAAACACTTGATGCGGAGAGGCCTGGCCTTCTGACACACTCTGTACCTCATATGCAGGAATCCGAGATGATATCAATATGAAGTGTGGTGGCAGAGCACATGAAGGGCTGTCATCATTTTTAAAAACTCCACGCCAATTTTTCTTTGATAGTAGAGGGTAGGAATATCTTCCAGAAACATTTCTTCTATAGGGGAAAAAGGGGGGGAGCAAGTGAAACTCTCATTTTCTCTTAATTCAACTTTGATTGCATGTTCTCTGTGTCCATCAGACACATATTGTATATGAGGCAGGTGGCCTCAGTACCTCAGTCTCCCTGCAGTTGGGGACAAAGGCAAATGAGTCTCCTGGGCAGGGTGGGGGCAAAGATGCCCTCTGGTCCTCTCTTCCCCCATCTGTGGGATGCCAGAAAGTTCTCTTGGAACTCAGCTTCTGTGGGGCACTTAAAATGAATGTAGTAACTTACTTAGGGGTTCAAAACAACATTTTGAAAAGGGGCAGTGGAGAGATTTCAGGTTTTCATAATCCCCCAGGCCTCACAGTTACCTGAGTAATGTCTCCATTCTCTCCAGCGCCACCCCCACCCCGCCCCCACATTACCATTTGGATATGCTTACACCCTAAAACATTTCGGGGGGAAAATGATATTTTTGCTCAATAACTTTGTGCAAAAAATATACTATATCCACAGTACAGCCTTCCTCATAAGGTTAAGAATATCTGAAATGTAAATTTTGAATGTTATATATTGCTTCCTTCAGAAAGCATGCTAAAGACCACTGTTTTTGCTATATCCAAGGGGAAGAGCTGTATAATTATGAGATCCTATGTGTTAGCAAGATTATTCTAGAATAAATTCTCAGTATCAAGGGATGGTCCAGAGCCTTCAGGGGATGGGGGTTTGCTTACCGCTTGGGTAAAGCTTCCAAGGATGCCAAAACAAGCCGTTTCTCCAAAGCTTCGTGTAGTCCCACTCGATCCCTCACAGTCTGGGAGAGACGTGGCTGGCATTGGGATTGCAACAATCTAGAGCAGCCTGTTCCACTCACCCAAGGGGGTCGGGCCCGGAATAACTCCTCTGGAAGACAAACAGCAGCCGGCTGGGCTGTTCACAGTGCGCTTCTCCCCGCCAAGTCTCCATAGATAAAAGGCACCAAAACCAAGGCTGCGCCAGGGCAGCATTCCAAACGGCAATCATCATGGCCACTTTCACACTCTATTTGTGTTTCTTATTCTGTCCGCACTGTGGCTGCAAGTTTCCAGTCATTTCAGGTCAAGAAACAAAGCTCAGAGAACAAACAACTCTTTTTTTTGTGGAAACCAGTTAATTTATAGGCTTCCCATCCATTTCTGTCCACCTCCTTGGCTTCAAGTAACTTCTCTTTGCTATGATCTCACAGAGGGCGAGTCAGTAAAATAATAAACGAATAAAAAGGAGAACTCAAATCGACTTTGTCGGTTACCTTTCCACACAAGTCAGAAGGCTTAGCTGAAAGTGTGTCTTCCCCCACTCCCTTTCTACTTTTAAAAAAGTGCCACTCTTCCTGCTCCTGTTCTCACACTCATTTCTCCTCCTTCTCATCAACCCCAAGTCTTCTGAATTGTCCTGAACCTATTCCTTTGTTTAGGCTTGTGTTCACACTTCTCTCGCCTCCTTATCTTTGGTCTTATAAATTTGAGAAAAACTAGGACAGGCAATGGAGACACTGATACTTGACCTTATATAGTTCATCTGAAATATTTTTTGCTTATCAATTAACTGGAAATATACACTGAGGAGAAAAAGAGCTTATCCTGAACATATGAGTACTTCCGAGAGTGCCACCCACGTGCTATTCCAGAAAAACAGCACTACCCTCCTCTGTGGGAATTTGTATGTAAATCCATTGGTTTTGACACTACTTGGTCAAGATAAGTTTTAAAATGCTACTCACTCTTACGCAGTGCAATTTTCTCCCACATTATTTTCCTTAGGCGCTTTTCTCTTTGTCTCTCCTGTAGCTCCTCATCTTCTGTTTTGGGTTCATTCAGGGTCCCATAAACAGCGGCAGCTTCCCTAGGTGTCAGCCAGTCTAAGTTGGACACACAAGCAATGTAATGGTGCTTCCAACCACCGTATTCATGATCCGTTGGAGTATAGGGCAGGAACCACCCGAACCTGATGCACTTGGGCATCCATAAGCAGTCCTTCAGAGACAGAAGTGAGAAAGATGAGTTGTGAGCTTTTTAAAGGTCAGTTTCCTAGTCACAATGCTTTCAGGTACACAGATCATTTGTTTTAGTACTTTAAGATTTCTAGTGCAGTTGACTTGCCATCTAAACTTGACTCTGAAAATGAGAAGCATTCCTTACTCCATAGGAAAACTATTCTCTGATGAACATGGATGTTTATGTAAATATCTGTATTAGTTGTCTTTGTGTACTCGCCTAGTGCTCCCAGAGCACTTGGTTACTTTAACCCTAGATTCGGAGACTTCTGCTTCTAGCAGTGATGTGTGTGTTCATTCCCGCCAGTCCTCCCCCTGAGAACAACTTTGATTGAGCCAGAAGAGATTGCTCATGTGCCACCATTTTTGAGATATGAAAACAGCAACTTTCATGTGATGTAATCAAATTAAATATCTAGACAGAATATCAGACAACAACCATCTGAAGTCATGATGGAGCTACAGTGCATAAGCACCTGTGTAGCCAAGACCCTGGAGAGGAGGGAAATCCAGGGGTGGGCGTGGTTGTCAGCACTGCTTTCACACCATTTGACAGTTCCAAAGTCAAGTTCAGGCTGACAAGCAGAGCAGAAAGTTATAAGTGAAAGCCTTATAAGCTCAAAAGACTTTAAGGCATTCTCACAGGGAAGAGAGGAAACAAACTTAAATTGGGGGCCCATGAAGGGGAAGAACCCTGGTAACCACACCAGGTTGTCAACTGAGATCCTTTTCAGTAAGGATGATAAAGAATTGGATAAACTCTCACCAGGACTGAAGCTAGCTTTGAAATTTCTCACTCTCTGATTAGATTTAAGGGATCTATTCCTAGCTGAAACAAATGCCAGAACCAAAAGCAAATTCTTTCTGAAGGAAGATAATATCATCCAGAGACTCAAATTACTATGTTAACTTCTTGCACTCAGTATCTGGTACTCAATCAAAAGCACCAGGTACATAAAAAGACATTTGTCTTTGAATAAACAGAGAGAGACCCTCAGGAGATCCAGATGTTATAATTATTAGACATGAACTTCAAAAAAAAAACAACTAAACATGGGAAAATATATTTGCCAATGGTACCTTGGACAAGGGTTTGATCTCCAAAATATACAAAGAATTCACACGACTCCACTCCAGGAAGACGAACAACCCAATTAAAAAATGAGCAAAGGACCTAAATAGACACATCTCTAAGGAGGACATACAGAGGGCCCAGGGACATATGAAAGGCTGCTCAGCATCACTAGTCATCAGAGAGATGCAAATTAAAACCACAATGAGATACCACTTCACACTGATCAGAATGGTCATCATAAACAAATCAACAGACAATAAGTGCTGGCGAGGCTGTGTAGAAAAGGGAACCCTAGTGTATTGCTGGTGCGAATGCAGACTGGTACAACCACTATGGAAAACAGTATGGCATTTCCTCAAAAAACTATAAATGGAACTGCCATTAGACCAGTAATTCCACTGCTGGGATTATACCCTAAGAATCCTAAGATACCAATTCAAAAGAGCCTATGCACCCCAATGTTCATAGCAGCACAATTTACAATAGCCAAGTGCTGGAAACAGCCTAAATGCCCATCAGTAAATGAGTGGATCAAAAAACTGTGGTACATTTACATAGTGGAATACTACACAGCAGAAAGAAAGAAGGAACTCCTATCCTTTGTGACAGCAGGGATGGAACTGGAGAGCAGTATGCTAAGTGAAGTAAGCCAGGAGGTGAAAGACAAATACCATATGATCTCACCTATTAGTGTAACATACTCAACAAAACAAACAATCAAGCAAAAATAGAACCAGAGACAAGGAAATAAAGAACAAACTGACAGTAACCAGAGAGGAGGGGGGAGGGATGATGTGGAGGAAAGAAGGGAAGGGTCAAGTCAAGGAACATGAATAAAGGACCCAAGGACAAAGACAATGAGGGGCGGTGATTGAATGAGGAAGATGGGGGATGGGTAGGGCAGGGGAGAGTAATGGGGAAAATGGGGACAACTGTAATTGAGCAACAATAAAAATCTCTATAATTAATATGTTTAAGAAATTAAATGGCTAGGTGGAAATTTTTGGCAAATAAATCAACATTCTAGAATTAAAAAATATGATAACTGAAATTTGTAACTCAATGGACTAGTTTAAGAGCAAATTAGAATCCAGCGAAAGAGGTCATTAGTAAACTGAAAGACAGGCTAGAAGAAAAGTCCAGACTGAAAACACTGACAGCCAAAAGGATGGAAAAGACGTCTGAGAGAATTCGAGACTTAGGGGGTGTGGGGGATCAGTCCAAGATAAGTATGGGATTCCCACAAGGGAAAGAGGAGAGCAGTATATAAGGAGACAGCATCTGAGAACTTTTCAAAGTGTATAAAGGACATTAAATCTCAGATTCAAAAATCACTGCAAAACACAAAACAGGATAAGGGTCATCAAGAAACATGTATGAAGGACCTATGGACAAAGCCAAAGGCGGGTAGGATTGAGGGTGGGAGGTGGGGGTGGGTAGGTGGGGGAAAGTGGCAGCAGGAAAATGGAGGCAACTGTACTTGAACAACAATAAAAAAAGAAAAAAATAGTATTTTAACTAAAAGTTTTATTACTATTAAAAAACAAGATAAATACACACACCAACACATACCTTCTAGGTACATTATGAAAAAATTACACAATAGAAAGAGAAAAACATCCTAACACTTACTAGAGAAAATAGAAATATTACCTTTAAGGAAATGACAATTAAACTTTCTACTTCTCAACAAATAGTTATGAAAGCCAGAGAACAATGGAAAATTTTCAAAGTACTATAAAAAATTAACTGCCAACCCAGAGTTCAAATTTTCAGCGACAATATCCTTTAAATATGAAGGTGAAATAAAGACATTTTAAGATAAAAACTAAGAGAGTCTGTCAGCAGCAAGTTGCATGAAAAGAAATATTAAGGATAATTCAGAAGGAAAATGATCCCAAGTGGAAACTCGGAGATGCAGGAAGGCATGAACAACAGAAAAAGTAAATATGTTGTTACCTATAAATAAACATTGACTGTATAAAATAATAGTAATGAGGGGTGGGGACTGGGTGAGAAAGGTGAAGGGATTGAGAAGTACAAACTGGTAGTTACAGAATAGTCACAGAAATGCAAAGTACAGCATAAGGAATATAGTCAACAATATCATAACAACTATGTATGGGGCCTGGTGGGCACCAGAATTATTGGGGTGCCCACTCTGCAAAGTACAGGATTGTCTTATCACTATACTGTACACCTGAAACTGATATAAAACAATACTGAATATAAACTGTAATTTAAGCACAATTTTAATAAAGAAAATAATAGTAATAGTTTTGTGGACTTTGTATATTTAAATGTTCGCATATTTTATATATACTTAAATATATTAAAAGTTATATATGACATTGAAATATCTGACAACAGCCCTGGCTGGTGTGGCTCAGAGGATTGAGCACCAGCCTGGAGGTCACAGGTTCGATTCCCAGTCAGGGCACATGCCTGGGTTGTGGGTCTGGTCCCCAGTTGGCAACATGTAAGATGCAACCACACATTGATGTTTCTCTCCCTCTCTTTTTCCCTCCCCTCGCTCTAAAAATAAAAAAATAAAATCTTTAAAGAATATATCTGACAAAAGCATAGAAACAAGGGCCGAGGGGGATGAAGTTAAATGTTCTAACCTCTTTGCATGACCTCCTACATGGTAAAATAATCCTAGGATGGGTGCTGTAATCTCTATGGCAGCCATGAGAGAACTTCTAAAGAATTTATAATTCTTAAGAATTAACAAATAAAAAATATTGATAAATATTTAAGTACTCCAAAAGAAGACAGGGAGAAAAACAAAATAAAAAGTACATGAAACAAACAAAAAATAAATAGTATAATAATAGACTTTAGCTCACATAGATCAGTATTTATTTAAATGTAAACAGACCAAATTAGCCCAGCTAAAAGTCACAGACTGCCAAATGTTAAAAAACCACCACCACCACCACATTCTTTTATGAAATATTTCTTTAATAGAAGGACATAGAAAGGTTGAAAGTAGAAGACAGAAAACAACATACTGTGCAAACAGTAAGCCTGGATTTTTTTTTTTTTTTACAGCAATAAATCCAGGCTCACAGATGGCTCTAGCACGTGGGCCCATCACAGAGATCGAGGTAGTCTCTGAGATCAGAATCTCCGCACAAGCCCACCCCGGAAGGCGTGCACAGGTTAAAGAAGCAAATTATTGACTTGTTTTTTAAATTATGTCTACCATTACATTTCATTCAATCTTTTAAAAGGAAAACAGAGGCAGCATTAATGGCAGAGGATATTGAAGATCTAGACTTACCTTCCCCAACAGATATTAGCCAAAGAGAGATTAGTTGAAATTGTGATCGTACAGCAATTTTTAAGGTGATTTATCATGAATAAAATAATAATATATAACAACCAAAGCTTAAATAATTTTAATGAAAGAATGGACTCCTTTAGCCAAGAAAAAGTATTTTCTAAATAATTGAGTATTTAGAAATTATTAAAATCACATGAATTATTAGAATAGTACGTATCCCCTTACTTACAAAATAAATTACCTTATCTCCATTTTTTTTCTTACGGGTAAGTTAATTATGGTTCAGAGACCCTCAGTTATCTTTTTTTTCTAAAGATTTTATTTCTTTATTTTTAGACAGAGGGAAAGGATGGGAGAAAGAGAGGGAAAGAAATATCAATGTGTGTTTGTCTCTCACGCACCCCCTACTGGGGACTTGGCCCACAACCCAGACACATACCCTGACTGGGAATTGAACCAGTGACCCTTTGGTTCGCAGGCTTGCACTCAATCCCCTGAGCCACACCAGCCAGGACTGTTTAGGGAAGAAAGTTATCGCAATAGCTCATTACACACTACTAATGCATTTGGGCTCTATAACTAGGAAGTGACGATTAGTAAACCT